TAGCTAGGACCATTTAGGGAGTTCCCGCTGGTGGCCTTGCTTTGCCTGACTGACACAGGGGACTCCCCCATCTGCTGAGAGGGAGGGAGTTGTTTCAAGGTAATAGGTTTGAGGAGAGAGGTAAACATTTCAAATAACCTCTGAGGAAAATGGGAAAGACAGCCGAATGGAGGGAACGGAATGGAAGAGCAGCCCTACACGTCCTGCTGTGGATGCAAACTCACGGCTGTGTGATGTTTCCTATGAATGCTCAGTAGCCTGGATACTCTCGGAGCAGAAAAGGTAAGGATTTGCAACCAGCTGGGAGATGATGGAGCCAGGGATGGTGTGGGTAATATGAAGGAATGGGGTCTAGACTAGGTCTCGATAAGGAGAAAAGGAAAGTCATCCAGGCAGGTGCTGGGTCTTGAGAGCTAAGTTTAGGAGGACAGTGAGTGAACTAGAAAGGCAGGTGTACTGATCCAGAATGCAAGCCTGCAATTGAAGGTCTCACAGGTAGAGCCTTTCTTGGTACAGAAACACTCCAGGGCCTGGGCATGGGCGGCGCTGGTAGATTTTTATTCAGGCCTTCCTCTGCACTAGTCCCTGCAGTTCAGGGTGATGTTCACAGGCAACTTGCTATTGATCCCACAATCCCATGCTGAGTTTGCTGGGGATAACGAAGTAACTACCAATATTTTTTTGTCTCCCTTCACACCAGATCCCAGTGATTTCATAGCTGCTTTGGAAAAGACTGAGGATAAATATGGCATTTCTTCTTGAAGTCCTCCAGTGCTGCTTTGGACGTGTGTATACATTCCTATTAAATCGAATCACACTGGGATTAATTTTTTTCCTGCTTCCCACTCAATAGCAGGAAACTCCTTTTGATATCAGCGTTCTATACATGTTCACCAGCTTCAACACTATCCTCTCTCTGAGGAGGGTAAAATGGTGCTCATCTTCAAATCATGTAAAGTAAGATGGAAACAATAAAATGTGTAGATGGAAACATAAGAAAACAGAACAGGAAAATATTTAAAATGGTTTCAAGAAAACCGGTCTTTTTTAAAATTCAGTTTTATGGAGATTCAATTTATATTTGATGAAATTCACCAACTTTAAGTATAGAACTTAATGAATTTTGACAAATGTATACAATTGTATAATCACTACCCCATTTATCATTTCCATCACCCCAAAAAGTTTCCTCACATTTGCCCCTTTACAGTCAATCTGCCTCCCTTAACAATCACGTTTCTGCTTTCACTATAGTTTTGCCTTTCTAGAATTTCATATAAATGAAATCATAGAGCATGTAGCCTTTCATGCTTAGTTTTCTTCAAGAAAACCAGTCTTATAACGAGGATATGAAAATCCTCGGTTATAAGCTAGGAAAGGCAAGGAAAATAGTAAGTTTCACCAGCTGTGTCCACCTAATTTGGCTTCATCCTCAGTATTAATTCCCAAGAAAAATCGAGTCTTACATGCTAGTTATATTTTTCTCAATTCCATTAGAAATAAATACATCATTATTGAAATGAGAAATGTTTATCTGAGTACCACTGACACACATCTCATGTACCATGAGTGATCAGCAAACCATACTCCAGAAAACACTTCAATAAAAAATCTTGACAGTTTTTATAGTTCTAGCAGTCTCATTCTCTCAGTCATTGATTTTGGCTGTCGAGTCTTAAGGTGACCGTCAGAAAAATGCATAAGTAATATGACATCCAAATCCTAACACATAGCATCTAAACTTGTGCACATCTGTCCTACTTTTAAAAATGAACTCAAACCTTTTGTTCTTTTTGCTCTCTACCATGACTTCCCACTTTATATGGTTGAAATTAGAAAAATTTATGTTTGGATACAAAGGGAAACAAACAACTAATAAAGAGGAGGAAACTGATGCAGCATACATAGACTAGGGAGACTTCCTGCAGGATATGAGATTTGAAGAGTGTTTAACATCAGATGGATGATGAACCCGGCACTATCCAGGTATATAATGGGTGTAGCAGTCAGACCACAAGGACATTTGCCGGGCAATGACAGTGAACAATCCAAGTCGATGTGCTAATCCTTCCTGTTTATGGGTTACACTTAACGCTATCACTTCACTTTCAGAAGACTCAGGAGTTTTCTGTGTGTTTCTGAGCGACTGCAGAGGACCCAGCAGACTGAGTCATTAAAGAGTGCGTCAAGGGTGGGCAGCGCTGACAATCAGATCCATGAAGACCCACATCTTTCCGTAGATGAGTCCTTTTCCTTGGGAAATTATAACTCTAAGAGGTCCCCAAAGCGCCATGGAAGTTTGCATTTAAAAAGGCATAAGTTTAACTAAAAAGTTCTTTTACATTTGTCTTTCTGACAGTTGTTGCTGCTTGGTAAAACTAAAAGGAGTTATAAAGGGCAACGGACAGGACCATTGTCAGGAGTTGCAGATGGGTGAATCCCATGCCTATTTCTCTAGGGGTTTTTTCCCGTTTTATTTTTTAATTTTTTTTTTTTTAACCTGTGTTTCTTACTGAAGTGAAGCCAGGTCAGATTGGAATATCTGAGGCCACTTTGAAATACAAACGTGTACCAAAGTCTATCTGGAAGAGTGTGTGGAAAACAGGAGTGGTGCAGTAACACCCACTTTGCCTGATCAAATATGAGTGGCAAGCTTTCATAGCACTCTGCAGGATATAAATCAAGAGCTGGATGCCCTGTTTGACTGGCCATTTGGTAGGAATGGTAGTTTAACCCAGGGTTTTGAATAAAGTGAGGGATCCAATTGAGTCTTTGTATTGACATTGTCATGTGTGGGTACCCATGAGAAACAGTTTCTCAGAAACTTTACATGCTACTAAACATACTAAATGCTAGCTGTTAAGCTGTCTTTCAAGGGAGGCCATCTTAAAAATGAGATTTAATTTTGTATAGTACTGAAGCCCAATTAATTCAAAAGTGGTCCGGTGTTTAGCATGTAGGTAGTTACATACAGTGTGTGCCTGATTCTTAGGCAAACGGTGGTTTTCTAATGTATCTCTTCTGGAGACGGCTATGAGGGTTTAAGTCACTAATATGTGTGCAGGCCTTGTGACTTTCCTACATTTAACAAACAATGTCAATGCAATATTAACATTTTTGCTTGTATTGGTATTAAACTTTTTCACCTCAAAGACAGCAAAATCAAATTTTATTTTGCTTTAAAGAAAATGCTACCATAAACAAAGCCCATTTCATAATCAGAACCCAATTTTTTTTTTCCTGGATAAGGTAGCATAGAACAATGGTCAGTTATACATACATGGATTCCAGGAAGCCAAGCCAAAAGAATTTGTCATTTAAGTAAGGTAGGTTATGGAAATTTTAAATCAAGAAAAAAGCACCAAGAGAGGCATAAAGGATCATCTTCCTTCTTTGAATCACACTGCACTTGATAAAATTTGCCAAAATAAAAAAAATTTAAATGATTTACCTGTTTTAAAAAAATAATTTTCCCCAGTAAACACAGGGTCAACCAAAAAAAAAAGCCTCTGTTTTCAACTTTTTTGCTGACAATTATTCTTATTCTATTATTCTAAATGTATTATTATTTACTACCTCGGTGAGTGTACTATTACTACCTTAGTATCTCACCACTTCCGTGATCTTTGCCTGTATGGACTTTATAGATGGAGGCGACTCTCCAGAATCTGTACTTATTCCTAGACCACAGTCTGGACCCAGGTTGCTTTTAATTGAAGAGGTCTCCGTTTTGTTGTGATGAATCTCTCAATTCACCCCACCCCCCAGATAAAATGAGATTTTCACTAACTTTAAAAATAGTCTATAAAATTCCTGTGCCAGTTGTCGTTGAACCGCTTTCTTTCCGGCTACTTGTATCTTGTAAAACCTAAATCTTGGAATTAAAAAAAAAAAAAAAAAAGCAGCAGCAGCTACGCTGACCATGTGGACGAAGGAAATCTTAGTTTTACGCAAAAATGCAATCACGTATGAGAATTGCGTAAGTGGATGGTCTGCACTTAGGTGAAGTCATTCGACGTCGTTTCCATTACTTCTTTTCTGGAGGTTACCAAACCATTTCCCAAGATGTAACGATTAGAACAATGATGAAATCAGTTTTGCAGCGTGTCAAAACTTGGCCCGTTGCCATTTACTCCTCGGCACTACTAGATTCAATTGGGCCTCGTACTTTCATTATCTGTGAGGACTGAATTCAACCCCTGCCTTCACGTGCAATTTTCTCCGGGAAAGTCAAATCATCATTCTAAGCATCGAAGAGCTCAGCCACACAGCGGAGGAAAGCAGTCGATGCGGCAGAGCAAAGGGGACCCTCAGACCTTCTTCCTCACCGCAGCTCTTCGGATTTTAAATAGAGCCTTAGGAGGACCAGGAGGGACAAGAGGGATGCAGGCAAAAGGTTCGATCCTCAATCCCAGCCGGAGACAAAGGTAACTGCGCGAGGGGGATGGGGAGACCGGCAGAGGAAGGCTCCTCGGCCCCCAGCCGGGCGGCATGACTTGAGGGGACTCAGAAAACGAGCCAGGACAGGGTAGGACAGGAAGGTATCAGCCGGAAGGGCGAACCGGCTAATCGCAGGAGGGCCGAGGCTGGGAATTCCCCCCCGCCCACCTCCGCTCCGCCGTGCTGGGAAATGAAATCGAGGCAGGGACACGGGTCCCGGGCCGCGACTAACGGGAAGGCTCCGGTTTCCCCCCCCACCCCACCCCCGCTCCGCCGTGCCGGGAAATGAAATCGAGGCAGGGACACGGGTCCCGGGCCGAGACTAACGGGAAGGCTCCGGTTCCCCCCCCACGCCCCCCTCTCCGCTCCGCCGTGCCGGGAAATGAAATCGAGGCAGGGACGCAGGTCCCTGGCCGAGACTGCCCGGAAGCCTCGGGTTTCCCGGAGCGGGCGTTCGGGAGAAAGAGCGCGTGCCTCACGTCCTCTCCGCCCAGCCCCGCCCCCCCGCGCGCTGCGCACGCGCGGCCGCGCCCCGCCCCTCGCGTCCCCTCCGGGGTGATGGGGCGGGGGCGGGGAGCCGAGGTGAGGAGTCGGTCGGAGTCCCTCGGCTGAGAGCTCGAGAGCTACCGGCGCCACCACCCCCCGCCGCGTCACGGCTCCCGGGCCCGCCCTCCAGTGGCCCCTCCTCCCCACTCCGCTTCCCCCTCCTCTCCCCCGCCCCTCCGACCGAGCGGTGACTTAAGCAACGGAGCGCGGTGAAGCCCATTTTTCTCCTTCCTCGCCGCCGCGCCGGGCAGCTCGCGGCGCGTGGCCCGCACACTCCCGCCCGAGATGAATGCTGCGGCAGATGCCGAGTTCAACATCCTCCTAGCCACCGACTCCTACAAGGTAGAGGTTCGGGGCGGGGGCAGGTGAAGAAGGAGGAGAGGGCGCGTCCGGGATGAGCGCGGAGCTGTGGGGCGGGGGGCGCCGCTCTGGGGTCGTGGCGCTGCACGATCCCGCGGGAAGGAGCGGGCGGGCGGCGGCGGCGGCGGCGGCGGGCTGAGGCAGGTGAAGCCGGCGCCGCAGTGGGGAGGAGGTGGATGGAGGAGGGATGGAGGGATGGACGGCAGGAGGCGGGGCTTTGGGGTGCGTGGTGGGGGGGGCGGCGAGGGGCTGAGGCGGGCCTGAGCCAGCGCCGCCGGCCCGCCCGTCCGCCGCGGGGCGCGGGGCTCCGGGCTCGTGAGGCCGTGGCGGGGTCGGGACCAGGGAGGCTTGGGCGTCCCCGGCCGAGCACACGCCTTCCCCAGGAGCGCGGCCGTTGGCCTTGGGCCGGGTCGGGCTGGGCCGGCCTGGGCGAAAGGTCGCCGGAGGAGTGGGTCGGTTAGGTAACGGCCCCTGGGGCTCGGCTGCGGAGAAAGGGAATGGGATTTGAGAAGTGGGTTTTCCCCCGCCAAGCTGAATCGAGTGCGCTCCCCCCTCGCTGGGCAGGTACGTCCCTTCCCGAGGAGGAGGTGGGCGAGGACGTAGTAGGGGTGCCGCAGCAGCCAGCCACGTTCTTCTGCCTGTGGCCGGGGTGTGGAGGACACTTAGCCGCCCTCGGTAGACGTGCTGGATTCCCTCGACCCACTCCACTGGGCTCCGTTTCAAACTCCTTGGCTCCTGGTGATCACTCATACTCCTCATCCCTTGTTGTAAAGGCCGATAGGCTGCCCTTATTCCATTAGAGCCACTACAGGATTTCTGTGAAAAGGAAAGTGAAAACATGAGTTTTAACCCTGGAGAACTCCCAGAGAGAAATGACACATTTGTGTTAATATGCCTATTGGACATTTGAATGTATTGCTGCCCCATCAGTTTTGTTTGAAACTCATACAAATAAGTAAAGGAAAGAATGATTAGAGGAAAATCTGGCAAATGTTCTTGCCCCAGGTTCCAAACTACATGAAGTAAACTGAACTGTACTTTGCTAAGCTTTGTTGGCCAACGCACTTAAAAGATGAAATGTCAGCCCAGACACCCCACTTGAACAAAATAAATTTTAGTATTTACTTGAGAACATGGTGGTTTGAAATATGAAGGAAAGCATAATGCTCTCATATTGTTGGTTTTTGTTGTGATTTTTTTTGCCTTTTGTTTCTTTCCTTAAATATTTGGAGAATCCCGTTTTACTTACGTTCTGTTTTGTTCATTTCTTCCCAGTCACCTTAACATTCTACTTAAGATAATTTAGGCCGCTACTTAAAGTAGAGCCAAGTTTTCGATGGTGTCATTGGGCTCCACCTCCAGGGTGATGGTCATGCCGGTCAGGGTCTTCAGGAAGATCTGCGTGCCACCCCTGAGACGGAGAACCAGGTGGAGAGTTGACTCTTTCTGGATGTTGTAATCAGAAAGAGTGCGGCCATCTTCCAGCTGCTTGCCAGCAAAGATAAGCCTCTGCTGGTCAGGGGGGAATGCCCTCTTTATCTTGGATCTTCGCCTTCACGTTTTAAAGATCCAAGATAAAGAGGGCATCCCCCCTGACCATCCCCCCTGACCAGCTTATCTTTGCTGGCAAGCAGCTGGAAGATGGCCGCACTCTTTCTGATTACAACATCCAGAAAGAGTCAACTCTCCACCTGGTTCTCCGTCTCAGGGGTGGCTGTTAATTCTTCAGTCTTGAATTCATAGTGCCCAATGATGGCATTGCTCTGCACTATAGCCATTTGCCCCAATTTAAGTTTAGAAATTACCAGTTTCAGTAATAGCTGAATCACTGGTTTTCTCAATAGCTGTTCAAAATGTTAATAAAAGTTTTGTTGCATCGTAAAAAAAAAAAAAGAAGGGCCAAGTTTCATTAACAAGTGGTCCCTTAAATGGAATTTTACAGTGGAAATCTACACCATTGCAAGGAGATCAAAGTATTATCGAGTATGGTTTACTTGGCCTTAAAACTTTCTCTTGTCTTGGTTCTAGTGTTTTGAGTATCTACGGTAGTGATTTTAGAATGGTCTCATTCATAGTTTTTTCTTAACTAGATTTCTTTTGCTAATTTTTTTTCCTAACTAAATCTTTAAAATGATTTCCAAAAGTTTTCTTAATGTAGCAATTAATGATTTGGTTGGAAATGGGATATGTAAACAGGTTGATGGGTCTAACTTATAAAAACAAAAGGAGTACAAATTCCTTTAGTTTGTAGTTCCTCTGGCAGTTATACATAAGGAATGTAAAATTGCCTTAACATCAGTTTTCTGGGCTGCTCTTAATTAGAAGAGTGAATTACCTTAAAGTTTTCTGATCTCCTAGCACGACATACTTCATGCACTGTTAAAGTTTGCGCCTATTTAATAAAGTTTATTCCTGCCCATTTTCAAATCAGACCAATATATTTTATTTTTCTCATATGAAACCTTTTTATTTTCTTCCAAGGTTTTAAGTTTTTGTTTCAATTCTCGTTAGGTAACATACAGTGTAGTATTTGTTTCAGGTGTACGATAATAGTGACTCAGCACTTGCATATCATCACCCAGTGCTCATCAGGACAAGTGCACTCCATAATCCCCACTGCCTATTTAACCCATCCCCTCACCCACCTCCCCTCTGGTAACTATCTTTATTCTCCATAATTAAAAGTCTGTTTCTTGGTTTGTCTCTCTCATTTTTTCCCTTCGCTTGTTTGTTTTGTTATTTAAATTCCACCTATGAGTGAAATCATACAGTATTTGTCTTTCTCTAACTGATGTATTTCGCTTAGCATGATACTCTCTAGCTCCATCCATGTCCTTGCAAATGGCAAGATTTCATTCTTTTTTATGGTTCAGTAATGCATTGTATATATATATATGTATGTATATATATATATATATACACACACACACACACATATATATACCACCCCTCTTTATTCATTGATCATGGACACTTGGGCTGCTTCCATTTCTTGGCTATTATAAATAATGCTGCTATAAACATAGGGGTGCATGTATCCCTTTGAATTAGAGTTCTTGTATTTTGAGGGTAAGTATCCAGTAGTAAAAATTACTGGATTGTAGGATAGTTGTATGTTTAACTGTTTGAGGAATCTCCATATTGTTTTCCAGATTGGCTGCACCAGTTTGCATTCCCACCAACAGTGCAAGAGGGTTCCTTTTTCTCCACATCCTCGCCAACACCTGTTGTTTCTTGTGTTGTTGATTTTAGCCAATTTGAGAGGTGTGAGGTGATATCTCATTATAGTTTTGATTTGCATTGCCCTGAGGGTAAGTGATGTTGAGGATCTTTTCATGTGTCTTTTGGCCATCTGTATGTCTTCATTGGAGAACTGTCTGTTCATGTCTTCTACCCATTTTTCAAATTGGATGATTTGTATTGTGGGTGTTGAGTTGTATAAGTTCTTTATATGATTTGGATACTAACCCTTTATAGGACATGTCATTTGCAAATGACATTCTCCCATTCAGTAGGCTGCCTTCTAGTTTTGTTGATTGTTTGCTATGCAGAAGCTTTTTATCTAGATGTAGTCCCAATAGTTTATTTTTGCTTTTGTTTCCATTGCCTCAGGAAACATACCTAGAAAAAAAGTTGCATCGGCTGATGTCAAGAAGTTACTGCCCATGTTCTTTTCTAGGATTTTTATGCTTTTAGGTCTCACATTTAGGTCTTTAATCCATTTTGAATTTATTTTTTTGTATGGTATAACAAAGTGGTCCAGTTTCATTTTTCACATGTAGCTGTCCAGTTTTCCCAACACCATTTGTTGAAGAGACTGTCTTTTTCCCATTGGATATTTTTTCCTGCTTTGTTGAAGATTAATTGACCATGTAGTTATGGGTTTATTTCTGGGCTTTCTATTCTGTTCCATTGATCTGTGTATCTGGTTTTGTGCTAGTACAATACTGTTTTGATTACTACAGTTTTGTAATACATCTTGAACTCCAGAATTGTGGTATCCCCAGCTTTGCTTTTCTGTTTTGAGATTGCTTTGGCTACTCAGGGTCTTTTATGGTTCCATACAAATTTTGAGATTGATTGTTCTGCTTCTATGAAAAATGCTGTTGGGATTTTGATGGAGATTGCATTAAATGTGTGAATTGCATTGGGTAGTATAGACATTTTAACAATATTTGTTCTAGTCTATGAGCATGGAATGTCTTTCCCTTTCTTTGTGTCATCTTCAGTTTCTTTCATCAGTGTTTCATAGTTTTCAGAGTATAGGTCTTTCACCTCTTTGGTTAGATTTATTCCTAGGTTCTTACTATTTTTGGTGCAAATGTAAATGGGATTGTTTTCTTAATTTCTCCTGCTGCTGCTTCAGTATTGGTGTATAGAAATGCAAGATTTCCATACATTGATTTTGTATTCTGCAACTTCAGTGAATTCATTTATCAGTTATAGTAGTTTTTTGGTGGAGTCTTTTGGGTTTTCTATATATGGTGTTATTTATCTGGAAATAGTGTTTGACTTCTTTACCAATTTGGATGCCTTTTATTCCTTTTTCTTTTCTCACTGCTGTGGTGTGGATTTCCAGTAATATGCTGAGTAAAAGTAGTGAGAGTGGATATCCTTATCTTGTTCTAGACCTTAGGGGAAAAGCTCTCAGTTTTTCCCCACTGAGGATGATGTTCGCTGTGGGTTTTTCAGATATGGCCTTTATTATGTTGAGGTATGTTCCCTCTAAACCTACTTTGTTGAGGGGTTTTGTATCATGAGTTGTACTTTGTCAAAATGCTTTTTCTGCATCTATTGAAATGATCATATGGTTATCCTTTTATTGATAAGATGAATCACGCTGATTGATTTGCAGATATTCAGCCACCCTTGCAACCCAGGAATAAATACCCACTTGATCGTGGTGAATAATTTTTTTAATGTATTGTTGGATTCGGTTTGCTAGTATTTTGTTGAGGATTTTTGTATCTATGTTCAACAGAGATACTGGCCTGTAGTTCTTTTTTTTAGTTGTGCGTTTATCTGGTTTTGGTATCAAGGTGATGCTGGCCTCATAGAATGAATTTGGAAGTTTTCCTTCCTTTATCTATTTTTTTTGGAATAGCTTGAGAAGAATAATATTAACTCTTCTTTAACTATTTGGTAGAATTTGCCTGTAAACCCATCTGGTCCTGGACTTTGTTTTTTAGGAGTTTTTTGATTACTGACTCAATTTCTTTGCTAATAATCACTCTTTTCTAATTTTCTGTTTCTTCCTGTTTCGGTTTTGTAGTTTATATATTTCTAGGAATTTAGCCATTTCTTCTAGGTTATCCAGTTTGCTGACATACAGTTTTTCATGATATTCTTATAATTGTTTGTATTTCTGTGGTATCAGTTGTTATTTCTTCTCTCTCATTTGTGGTTTTATTTATTTGAGTCCTTTCTCTTTTTTTTCTTGATGAGTCTTGATAGAGGTTCATCAGTTTTGTTGTTTTTCAAAGAATCAGCTCCTGGTTTCATTGCTCTATTCCATTGTTTTTTTAGTTTCTGTATCATTTATTTCTGCTGTAATCTTTATTATTTCCTTCCTGCTACTCTTTCCAGGGTTTGTTTGTTGTTTTTCTTTTTCCTAGCTCCCTTAGGTGTAAGATTAGGATGTTTATTTGAGATTTTTCTTGCTTTTTCAGATAGTCTTGTATTGCTACAAACTTGCCTCTTAGAATTGTTTTTGTTGCATCCCAAAGGTTTTGGGCCACTGTGTTTTCATTTTGTTTCCATGTACTTTTTATTTTTTGATTTCCTGGTTGACCTATCATTGTTGAGTAGCATGTTATTTAACTTCCATGTATTTGTCATCTTGCCAGACTTTTTCTTGTGGTTGACTTCTAGTTTCATAGTGTTGCTGTCAGAAAAGATGGCATGGTGTGACTTCGATCTTCTTGAATTTGTTGAGGCTTGTTTTATGGCCTAATATGTAATCTATTCTGGAGAATGTTCTGTGTGCACTTAAAAGAATGTGTATTCTGCTGTCTTAAGATGGAATGTTATGGATTTATCTGTTAAATCCATCTGTTCATTCAAAGCATTGTTTCCTTATTGCTTTTCTGTTTAGGTGATCAGTACATTGATGTACACGGGCTGTTAAGTTCCCCATTATTATTGTATTATTTTCCATTAGTTCCTTTTTGTTATTAACTTTTATGTATTTGGTGTTTCTGTGTTGGGTGCATAAATATTTATGGGTGTTATATCTTCTTGTTGGATGGTCCCCTTTATTATTATATAGTGTCTTTCTTTGTCTCGTTACAATCTTTGTTTTAAAGTCTAATTTGTTCAATAAAAGTATTGCTACTCTGGCTTTCTTTTGACCTCCATTTGCATGATAGACGTTTCTCCATCCCCTCACTTTCAATCTGCAGGTGTCTTTAGGTCTAAAAGGAGTCTCTTATAGGCAGGATGTAATCTAGTTTTTTTTTATTCCTTTTGTCACCTCATGCCTTTTGATTGGAGTGTTTAGTTCATTTATATTCAAAATAATTATTGATAGATATGTATTGTCATTTTATTCATTTTTGGGGGGGGATGGTTGTTTCTTTCTCCCATCTGTTCTTGTCTTTCTTTTATGGTTGGCTGGTTTTCTTTGGTGATATATTTGGATTTCTTTGTCTTTAGTCTTTGCATATTTATTAGTGGTTTTATGTTTGTGCTTACCATTAGGTTTGTATGTAATGTCTTTGGCATTTAGCAGTCTATATTAAGTTGATGGTCATTTAAGTTTGAACCCATTCTTTACTCCTCTCCTCCCCACATTTTAAGTATATGTTGTCATATTTCCCATCCTTTTATTTTGTGAGTTTCTTGACTGGTTTTTTTACAGAACTGTTTTTACTGCTTTTGTATTTCCTACCTTTATACTGTCACTTTTGGTCTCTATGTTCCACTCAGAGATTCCCCTTTAGTATTTCTTGCAGGGCTGGTTTAGTGATCATGAGCTCCTTTAATCTTTGTCTGGGAAACTTTTTATCTTTCCATCTATTCTGAATGATAGCCTTGCTGGATAGAGTTTTCTTGGCTGCAGATTTTTCCCATTCAGGCACTTTCGATATATCATGCTCTTCTGGCTTAGTAAGTTGCTGCTGCATGATCTGCGGATAGCCTTATGAGGTTTCCCTTGTATGTGACCATATTCTTTCGTCTTGCTGCTTTTAAAATGTTTTATCACTATATTTTGCCAATTTAATTCCTGTATGTCTTCCTGTGGATCTGCTTTTACTGATTTTGGGGGGTGGGTATGGTGTCTCTGTCTCCTGGATCTGAATGTCTCTTTCCTTCCCCAGTTTGAGGGAAGTTTTCAGCTATTATTTCTTCAAATAAATTTTCTTCCCCTTTTTCTCCCTCTGCTTCTGGGACTCCTAGAATATGAAAGTTAATATGTTTGATGGAGTTAATGAGTTCTTTATGTCTGTTCTCGTTTTGCATAATTATTTTTTCTCTCTTTTGTTCTTGATTACTTTCCATTATTCTGTCTTCTAGGTTAATAATTTGTTCCTCTGCTTCTTCCAGCCTGCTATTCATTCCATTAAGCATGTTTCTTATTTTATTGAGCCCTTTATCTCTGCTATGTTATTCCTTATCTCTCTGTTAATGGTCTCACTGATACCTTCCACTCTTTTCTCAAGTCCAGTGAGTATTTTTATGATCATTACTTTAAATTTTCTATCTGGCATGTTACATAATCTGTTTCACTTAGATCTCTGCCCATGGCCTTGTCTTGTTCTTTCATTTGGGACAAGTTTGTCTTTCTTCTCATTTTGTCTTAGTCTCTGTGCCTGCTTCTGTGTATTAGGAAAATCAGCTACATCTCTTGTTCTTGAGGCTAATGAAGAGGAGGTCCTGTAGTGCTGTGCCATGTAATGTCCCTTGTTCCCCAGGGCCTGGCACTTCTGGGAGCATCTCCAATGTGTGCTGCATGTGCTCAGCTGTTGTGTCCTGGCTGTTTTAACCTTCAGGCCAGTCATCTGCAGAGGCTCTCTTTGCTTGTTTTGGGCAATGTTTGGTCCCGGCCTGAATGTAGCACGTTTTAACTAGGTGTGCTCTGTTCCGTTTGTGACATGAGGCCTGTCGCCACTGCCACTGGAACCAAAGCCCTGCAAATCTCCCATCTCTGGAGGCACTGTGTGAGCATGGGTTTGGGCTGGTCTGGGTGACGGGGCCCACAGTGCTAGGACTGAGGCAAACGTGACTGGGAGGGGCAGTTCCACCCAAGCACAGTGGAACTGTGGGGCTTGGTGTAAGCAAGTTAGGTAGGGAGTGTGGATGCTATGCTGGTTCTCATAGGCAGTCCTATTCTTATGCTAAGGGGCAGGGAGAGGGAAATGGCTCCTGCCTGTTCCTTTGTTCCTAGAGGGGTCTCTCCATTGATGCTGCCCCTCTGGGACATGCTGCAAGATGAGCAGATAACCTCCCCACAGTGTGCCCCAGGCTCTCTTCAGGTCACTGTTTCCACACTCTGTTCATGGGCTGTGTGACCTGCCTTCCCTCTAAGAGCAGTGCAATGCCCTCTGGGCTCTAACCCAGCCAAGCCTGCTCACCTTTAAAACTCGGGGCTTTAAGCCCTGCTAGTTGCAAGAACTCACGAAATTTGGCTCCTCTTGCTTTCCAGCCTCCTTTTTGTGTTAGTCTGTCTCTAGCCCTTCTCTCTTCCACTGCAGCAGCAATGATCCGTTTCTCCCAAACCTCATCTCCGTACTTCCTACCTTCTTCGATGTGTGTGTTCTCTACTTTTAATTGTAGAGTTTGTTCTGCCAGTCTTCAGGTCAATTTCTAGGGTATTTAGGGTGATTAGATAGTTATCTAGTTGTTGGATGAGGCAAGCCTTGTATCCTCCTACTCTGCCACCATCTTCCAAGTTTGTCTAATATGAAACCTTTTAAGAAGATTTTCATCTTGGGGCGCCTGAGTGGCTCAGTCAGTTAAGCATCTGCCTTCGGCTCAGGTCATGATCTGTGTCCTGGAATCAAGCCTCATGTTGGGCTCCCTGCTCAGTGGGGAGCCCGCTTCTCCCTCTCCTTCTGCCCCTCCCCGCTCCCTAAAATAAATAAAATCTTTAAACAAATTTTTTTTAAAAAAATATTTTTATCTTAGTAAGATTTCTCATTTTTCCTCCCCAAAAGTCCCTCAGGAGGATTCAGTCAGGTTCATATGTTTTATACCAATGGTTTACAACAGTACACTAAAATAGATGGTGTATTCCACACTGACATTTTTCAGTTTCATTTATCTTACATATTTTGTGGTCTTTATAATCTGTATTCCATTTTTACCTTTTTATCTTCTTAGATGAAGAAGAGACAGAAATGATAATCCTGAGTTTCGAAGTAATGAAATTTTTATTTGGTAATTACATGAGACTATTACATATTCTATTTACTACTGGCCAGTTAAAGTAGGTAGGGAACGTAGTGATTTTAGACGCGTTGATGGAAGAGAGGAGACTGGTCAGATTTTTGTTTTGGGTTTTTTTTTTCTCCGCCTATCCCTGGGGTAGCCATTGAATTAGTTTACAAATAACTGACTCATTAAAAGGTGCATTTCTGTTCCTTGTTTCTTTCCTTTGCTTCTATGTAGATAATATTAGTAACAAATTATAGCAGAGAATAGTTTCATTATTTCTGAAAATTTTACCTATTAGCAGATTAAAATGGAAGGTATTGTCAGTTGAGTTGAAAAATATATATATTGTACAATAGTAATCTCTAAACAATTTACACATCATCCATTGTTATGAATTGTGCTATCCAGTGTGGGTTGCTGCTCAAAAGGTCATTTGTATAAACTGGTTAATTGGAACTCAGCCCATTTTCATTAATTCATTTAATAAATATTGGAGATCTCCTAGGTATTGTAAAAGACAAAAGATGTCTCTTAAAATCCAGGATGGGTGAAAGTTGGTTTTAGAGAAGTTACAGGAGATTGTATAATTTATGTATGGTGATTAGGCACCCAAGGTAGCTTTTTTTTTAAAGATTTTGCTGCCTCACTAATGGCAGATTAACAGACTTTAAAGGTTTGGGCTTTTTGGAAAAAGAGTTGGGGACAGATCTTACTGGCAAGTTAGTCCTGGCTGGAACTTTAGTTACCCAGTGTCTGAGCTGTTCCTATTTTTCATAGTTGCTTCTTTCTCATTACTTCTGAACACTTAAGTTATGTCACAGTGACTCTCTCATGGCAGCCTGAGCCTTGTGAGGAGTGCAGTACTGTTGCAGTTTGTATGTCAGAGATTACCTGTACATTCGTATGATGCAATTTTCCAGTGAGTTTTATATTATAAATTATAGGAAAAGTTCAGACAACAAACAAAATACTATATGTAAATCATGAATACACTTCATAGGAAGATTAATTTAGGTCAGTAGTAATTATATAATATTTTGCAAAACAAAGATACCAGAAGCTGGTGTCCTCTTTGTCAGTTGACTGCATCTTTCTCAAAGGTGTGGCCAAAAAAAGTACAAATTATCAGGAACTCTGTGCTAGGAGGTTTAGGGGAAGGGCAGTATGATTATAGCTGATTTGACAATTTTCTCTCTTTCCCAAAGTATAATCCAAAAATCTTTTAGCCATACTTTTGAAGTTATTATTGCTTCAAAAGCCAAATAGCAAAAAATTATTTTCTATGGCAATAGAAGTATTTCTAAGGCTTGAGAAATCTTAAATAATGTTGAAAAGAAGAAAGAATCAGTTAATTTTTTTTTTCTATTTCTAGCACATTAGCATTGACGAGGCAGAAGGTCTTAGCCATTGTAAGGCTGAGTGGATCCTCTTCTGAGTGCCCTTATAAATTATAGAGATAATATAACTGATTTGTGACATTATATATATTTTCCCATGTGTTCTTATATACACATGGTATTGTTAAAATGTTGGCTTATGATCATTTCTTAGCTGTTAAAATTATAACTGATAAAGTAGGTTAGTAGTGGTTGCCTTTGTCTTGTGATCCCATTGTGAGAGGAAAGCTCTTGAAAAAACATCAACTTTGTGGGAAATCTGGAGAGGCTCAGGAAAGACTTAGAGTTTGCTCTCACAGAAAGATTCTTTGCAACTTAAGTACTTCTTATATTTCTCTTCATTTTTTAATTATTTGTAGGGGGGAGGAGGAGCAGAGGGAAAGGGAAAGAGAGAGAGACTCTTAAGCAGGCCTGATGCCCAGCACCGAGCCTGACGCAGGGCCCAGTCTCACGACCCTGAGATTACGACCTGAGCTGAAATCAAGAGTTGGATGCTTAACCGACTGAGCCACCCAGGCATCCCTGATATTTCTCTTTAAATGTCATACTTGGGACAAGGATATTTAGTAGCCTAGGGATTGATTATAATTTTTAGCTTTTCATGAAGTAAATCAATCACATGACTGTGAAAATGACTTCTATTAAAAGCTAATTTTTCTGGTGTGCCAGTGTTCTTTACCATACACGTATATGTGTACTGCTAGTGCTCTATTAGCTGTAGGAAAAATCATGCTAGTTGAGGAAACATTTTTAGAGGTAAGGTTTGCTGAGGATATTATGAGAAGTTAGTTATTTTCATTTTATAAATAATGTTAAATTTATTATAGAACCATTTTCTGTATTGATAGAAGTCAAAAGTAGTGCTAAAAAAACCCAACATGATTTAATAGCTCCCTTTTTGTAGTTCAGTTTAATTTTGAATACTGTGAAACTTTGTATTAGTTGACATACTTAAAACTGAGCTCTTGAGGAGGAAGGAATCCATTCCTTCCACATCCTTCCCCATCTCAGTAAATGGCACCATTATTCACCCAGTTGCTCAAGCCAGTAATGTAGGAAACACTTTTGTTTCCTCCCCTTTTTTATCCCCCAAATATAACCTATTAGCCTAATTCTCCTTTACCTCCAAATGAGCCACTTCTATCACCTAAGCTAGTCTTCAGCATCTTACCTGATGGTCCTGCTTCCTCTTTGGTCACCCTGTAATCCATCCTTGACCTCACTGTCAAGCTGATCCTTGTAAAATATGAATCAGATCATATTCATTCCAGCTTAAAACATACTAATGGCTTCCTCTTGCACTTGATGTAATATTCAAGCTCCATGTGGTAACATACAAGCCTTTACACGATCTTATCCCTGCATCTCTCTGTGACCTTAGCATGTACTCCTTCCTCCTCCTCCTCCTCCCCACTCTCCAAGCACCAACCACACTGGCACTGTGTTCTGTCCCTTAAGTCAATGTATTTCCTACCTCCTTGTAGTTTAGGTCCTGTCACATATCACCATCTCAGAGAAGCCTTCCTGGCCCCCTCTTTACAGCAGTCTATCAGGCCCCCCCAGCCCTTCATTTTCTTTTAAATTTTCAAACCTACATCTAGATCTGAAATTATTTTGTTGATTTATATGTTATTCTCTGACCTTCCAACCCTCATTAGCCCTTTTAGAATAAAAACCACCGTAGTATTTCCCCATCCTCAGTACCTGAAACAGTGCCTGATACATAGTGGACACACAGTATATATTTGTGAATAAACTATTTTCAAAATAACAATTTATTAATTTGATTTTTGCTGTATCATCTCATTTTCTAGTGAAGGTTCCAAGTGGTTCAGCAGAAAGCAAAATGAAGAGGGTAGTAAACCTAGCAAAACTGGAACCATTACAAATCTTCTATTGGCTGTATTCTTAGAATAGTACTTACTAAAAAGCTCTGTTTTTTTTTTTAAAGATTTTATTTATTTATTCGAGAGAGAGAGAATGAGAGATAGCACGAGAGGGAAGAGGGTCAGAGGGAGAAGCAGACTCCCTGCTGAGCAGGGAGCCTGATGTGGGACTCGATCCCGGGACTCCAGGATCATGACCTGAGCCGAAGGCAGTCACTTAACCAACTGAGCCACCCAGGCGCCCTAAAAAGCTCTGTTTAAAAATTTTTTTTCCCATTAAAACAGTGGTATAAGCCAATATAAAATAGATCCAAACATACTATTTGATTCTTTAAATATATTGGGTGTTTATTGGTAGGTGGTTAATTGCCTGAGAATAAGCTTCTTCAGCTAAATTCTAGAACAGTTCTTGAAAGTTCTCCAAAGAAGATTTTAGAAGTCACACTTCATTTCTAATTAAGCAGCCTAGACAATTTTCTGTTTTTAATAACATTTATTTTCAGAGGAGGCATTCTGAATATTTATGCAAAGGTTTTATGTATATAATTAAAGAATACAGCAGAAGTAAAGCTTTAAAATTATAAATATATTCAGTCATTGTCCAGAACTGGAACCATATTTGTATGATCGAGAAGTTTTAGTATACTTTTAGACCAAAGTGGAGTTAAATAGTTTAGGAACATTTCCATTCAGCATTTGACTGCTTGGTCTACTCAGAAGATGAAAATAATTGATTTGTCTTCTCATACTTTTAAATTTGACATAGAAAAAGTAAATTTATAAAGATGCACCCTTAAGTATCTGAACTGCAAAAAGGTCAAACTACTGAGAGTCACAGCTATGAATCTGACTTCTGTAAACTTGCATAATGTGATCCCGACCTTTGATTTTACTTCATCATAGTTGACTTTTCTTCTCCCTCACTACTTATTCCCACTAAAGGAGTTGGAGTTATTTAGATTGTAAACTGGACATTTTCATTTTTATATACATCTTGGATATGTTTTTAGGCAGTGTTACCTTTTTCTAATCATTTCTTAAGTAGCTGAAATAGTGATTTATTACTGGGGTATCATTCATATACATTTTATGTTGTCTTTGCATTTTGGTGAATTGGTTCATAGATTTAACTGCTCTGGGTTTTAACTGTTTTACTGAGCTACTACTTCAGCTTACAGCAGTATCAATCCCTAGGTTCTAACCTAAAAAACAAAAAATCCAAACCAACCCCTGGTGTCTACCTCCAGGTTTCAGATTCTTCTCGCAGGTTGCCTTCAAGCAGCATAAGTGTGCTGTTTTCATAGAGTTGCAAGTTGCTTCTTGTGGAGAAGAAAGATTTATTAAACATTTGTGATTTTTTTTTTTTTTGCTCTCTATATATATTTATCTTAGAATTTTTGTGCTAAGCTACAAAGATTTTTTTAGGTTAAAGCCAAATTTTACTTTGATTAAGATTGTGCATCCAAACAAGAAAAAGCATTGGTTTCTCTAAACTTAGGATCCGAGCTAAATAGGAAGAATGGTTCATGTTCACAGGGGTCATCCATGGAACTTGTTCTGCAGTGATCATTCCACCATCACCTGCTTGACTGCCCTCTACCTTAAGCTTTAAGGCATTTTCATTCCTACTGTTTCAACAGAGCGCATACATATTATACTTCCACTTACTTTCTTTTTTTTTTTTTTTTTTTTAAAGATTTTATTTATTTATTTGAGAGAGAGAATGAGGTAGAGAGAGAGCACGAGAGGGAAGAAGGTCAGAGGGAGAAGCAGACTCCCTGCTGAGCAGGGAGCCCGATGTGGGACTCGATCCCGGGACTCCAGGATCATGACCTGAGCCGAAGGCAGTCGCTTAACCAACTGAGCCACCCAGGCGCCCTTCCACTTACTTTCTATTGGTAAAATGTTTTAACCACATTAAAATATAAGAAAATTCAAATTAAAATGAACTCACTTTTTTCTTAAAACAAAGACGTATTAACTTTCAACAGTAACTCTAATCCAAATTCATGGAAGAGAAATAATACTTCTTCATGTTTTTAAACTCCTAAGGATTTGATGTTGCATTGCACAGGCATTTATTTCCAATTCAGAGGAAATTTGAGAAAAAGTAATATAAAACAGGATTTTTTTTTTTACTGCTGCTGCTGCATTCATCCAGGTTTTCATAGTGTTAACTATGAAGACGGGAAGGAGTCATTCTCACTACCTCACTATATAGATGCAGTAGAGTCATGGGAAGTCGTTGACTATTGACTTATCAAACATAGCACATTTGGGTAGTAACAGTACCAAATTCTGCTTCCAGTTCATTTTTTATATCATGGGGTATGCCCCCCCGCCCCCAGGCAGCTACATCTCTCTTTCCCTGAAGGAAGATCATTCCCCAAGACCAAATGAAATACCTTTCTTCGAACTTTGATTTCAAGTATCCGTCCATCCCCTTAGAGGCTTCATACTTCCTTAAGTTCAGTTTATTTGTTTATAAAATTTAATACTCTCATGTGGTTTTGAAATTAAAAGACTGAACTATTAAAGAAGTATCCTAAGTATGATGCTTATTTTTGTATTCTTTACAGCTAGGAAAAGAAGCTGATCAGTAGCAAATAAGTGTAGTTTCTCTGGTTTTAGATAATTTCAAGCCTTTTCTGTCATGATTTATATTCTATTCTAATGTTCTCTAACTCAAGTATTTCTCTTTCCTTTAGGTTACTCACTATAAACAGTACCCACCCAATACAAGCAAAGTTTATTCCTACTTTGAATGCCGTGAAAAGAAGACAGAAAACTCCAAGATAAAGAAGGTGAAATACGAGGAAACAGTATTTTATGGGTTGCAGTACATTCTTAATAAGTACTTAAAAGGTATTATTTTTCCTAGTACGTTTAAAACACTGCTTTTATGTAACACTTCATAATTTTTCTCCTATATTGTTATATTCTATGATTTGAAATAACTCCTTCAATAGTTTAATTTTGATATTTACTTAACTACTTTGACTATTTTAGGGGTTATTTTGGAATTGTAAAAAATCTGTTAATTTGAATGCATTAAATCTTATAATTTGGTGTATGTGCTTATTGTTCTAAATATGAGAAAGATTTTCTGAAACTAGTAAGTTTGGGAATAAGTTTAGAAAAGTCAATTTTCTGAGGCTAATCTGGTATCTTAATAGATTTAAGTCATTAATTCACATGAAGGATTCATTATTCATCTGGGAATTCATTTTGAATTATGGTAGCAATTAGAATATTTTTGTCAGTCTGTTTTATCTTAAAACCCTATTTTTCAGAACTGCCTGACACCGTGGCCTTAGTCTCAAATGCATTTTAAAATGGAAAAAAAAAAACAAAATAATTTCTGTGCTTTTGTATTTGAAAGTCCATATCTAGTTTGTTTTATAATAGTATTTCTAGGGCGAAAACAGTTCACAAAGGTTTTATACATTTTGGAAAATTTCATCTCTGAAACCTTTTCAAATAAAAATCTCAAATGAAGACAGATTAAGTTGAATTTTACACAGATAATAACCTTTTTCCATAATCTTGGCAGTTTTAAGATCAGACAGTTCAGATATGTTATACCATTGAAAACCTACTTGAGTATCCAAAGTACTTTGCAGTAGGACTTCCCAAGATATTTTAAATGAGTTTACTAGTGACATTATATAGAGAAATCACTAAGGATTGATGTCATACTTCAGTTCTACAGCTTAAAGACTTTATAAAATATTATTTATAATTAATTATAGCTAAAATTTATGAATTGCCTATTATAGGCCAGCATTATGCTAAGTATATGTCTTAACTCACTTAGTCCTCACAGTCATCCTGTAAGTAGGTGCTCTACTATTATCCTCATTTTACAGCTAAAGATAACTAAAAGTATATTTGAGGAACAAAAACTTAGTCCTTGTGAAAATTATTGGATTATGAGCCCTAAAGACACCCTTTATGAATAAAGTAAAAAGGTTCACCTGGAAAATTATCTATAATTTGAAGAGTATATATATTAATAGTGATAGAAAAAATATCATCTTAGAAGTTGACTTATTACTGTGATTTAAAAAACAATTTCTGCCTATCTGCTTTTCAAATATGAACTTATCACACATCCTTAGGGTGAGTGAGCAGAGGGGCAAATTCCTTTTTGGCTGTGCTGTTGACGCTGGGTGATCATTTAACTTCTCAGTTCTTGGTTTTTTATCCATAGAATGGTGAAATACCTAGAAAGATTAGTCCTACAGCAACTCAGCAATTTATAGAATGACTTTAGAAATGTTAACAGGAGAAATTTGTGTTTTCAGGCAAAGTAGTGACCAAAGAGAAGATCCAGGAAGCCAAAGAGGTGTATAGAGAGCATTTCCAGGATGATGTCTTTAATGAGAAGGGATGGAACTACATTCTTGAGGTAAAAAATGGTTTTCACGTTTGGCTCTACTTTGGTTTTGCTTTTAGTTCAAAATTTCTTAAAAGGAATTTGAATAGAAGACTATAATTACGACTTTTTTTTCTGTCTGTGACCCAAATATAATGGCTATTTTAGATATTCTTGTGAAAAGTTAAGGGTAATAACATTTAAATTTTTTCTATAGCAGGTCTCAATAATTGATTATAATATAAATTATAATTTAAATCACTAGCATTTTTCAGAAAGGAGATTTAATCTTTTTTTTGAAAATGTACCATAATTAAGAAAGGGCATGGTTATTTGGCAGTTTTAAAATTTAGGTCTTTTTTCTTGGCTATAGATTATTTAAGGGAATAGATGCAGTGAGTCTATCACTATACAATAATTCTAGGAAATTTCCCTGACTGAATCATTGGAATGGTTCTGTGTTGATCCATAAAGTCGATTTTTATTCTTTGTTGTTCTGATTGATTACTTAAGTCCCATAATATTCATACCTAGCATGTTTGGATCGATTACTTAAACTTTTGAGCATCCAGAGACCTGGGAATTGAGTTATAAGAGTTGAATGTCCTCTGATGGTGGTCTTTACTACAAAGATAGATTGGCAATGGGATCTTTTGGTATCTTGCCATGTAAAGTGTTCATTTATGTCTTAAAAACAAATGTCTTTTCCACTGTATACTATCAAACACAAAATAATTAGAAATACTTTAACTTTCAGGCCTATATTGTAAGACTGAGTTTTACTATTTTTTACTTAAGGGTCTTTGAAGAAGTCCAGTAAGCACTCTGTGCTATACTTTCCCTATATCTTAAGAAAGATCAGTAAAATCTATCAGCTAACTCCTGCACTTACCCCATTTGGTTTGTTGAGGAGAGAACAGTAATAGGTGTTAAGCTTATTAATATAATTCCCAGTAGCCAGGGTGATAAATCTTTTGATTTTATGTTCAGAGAATTTTAGGGATCTAATCTAGTCTTATCTAACCCTGTTGTAAGAATAGTCTGAGACCTAGAGATGTTAAATGACTTGCCCAGAGTCCAAGTCAGCATTTTTGAGTCCACGCTAGGATTTCTAAGGCAGTGTTCTTTCTGCTCTATCATGAGGCCTTCCAGTGCTTCTCATTAAACAGATTTTTCTTTTATTTAGTTACCTGTCCCAAATCACAAAAAACCTACTAGGATTTCTGAAATAATTTGCCTTCCTAGCCAACATTTAGCCACAGCTTTTACCTTTAAAAGAAGAGAGGCATAATTAAATGTCCGAAAACATACTCTGTAGCAAATATGTTTCAGGCTAATTTTGGAGAGAACTGTTGCACTTGGATATTGATTGCCAAAGCTTTAGAAAGTACACTTAATGATTGGCCTTTCTATTCCTAAAGTGGTTTCGGTCTACTGCCAGAATAAAGAGAAAACCTATTTAAGATTATCCTACTGGCAGGGATCTCTCTCTCTTTTCTTTTTTTTTTCTTTTTCAAGATTTATTTATTTGAGAGTGAGAGACAGATAGAGAGAGCACAAGCAGGGAAGAGAGGGAGAAGTAGGCTCCCCGCTGAGCAGGGAGTCGGATGTGGGGCTCGATCCCAGGACCTGAGCCGAAGGCAAGACACTTAAGCCAAATGAGCCACCCAGGCACCGTCTCTTTTGTTTGTTGTTATTTTTTGTTACTCATAGCAGTCCCTTGTCTTTTAGCCTTTAGCTTTTCTTTTATGAAAATGACTACTGAGAAGAAAGATAGTGTTCTTGGAATATTTTTGGAATATGTTGGAATAAACTTTTTTTGAAAGAAGGGGAAAAAACATTTCTTTAGATGAGTTTGAGATTATCTTCTAGTGAGAAATGTTCTTAGGCGAAGTACTCTGATAACATAAAATTTAAAAAATAGTATCAGTGCCTAAACTGTTACTCATTTTAGCTAATTTTATTTCAAGAGAATAAGGATATTCTAGCAATATAGTAACATGTACAATTGCAGTTTCTGTGACAGTAAGATTAGCTTCTGTAAAATATAAAGAACTTTATTAAAACAAGTAACTGCATATCATCTGTTGAATGAATAAATTCATTATTGTCTGTTACCAGAAATATGATGGGCATCTTCCAATAGAAATAAAAGCTGTTCCTGAGGGCTATGTCATTCCCCGAGGAAATGTTCTCTTCACAGTGGAAAACACAGATCCAGAGTGTTACTGGCTTACAAATTGGATTGAGGTGAATTGTTGTATTTTAATTACTATTTAACATCAACTGAAGGTATAAAAACCATTCAACTGGGATTCTAGTTTTAAAATTGCTACTAATAAAGCTGTATAATCTCCTACAATTTGCTAAACCTTTCCAGGCTTCATTTTCCTCATTTATAAAGTGACAGTTGGATTAAATAATCTTTGTTTCCCTCCAGTGAAATGTAATGTTCTGAAACTTTATCTAAGTGAAATTATTAAGAACTGTTACTGTTAAAGCTCTGTTGGCTTCCATCTTGTTTGTTGCAATCCTAAGTGCATATTATCATAGAGAAAACTGAGAAAAGTAGCACAGGTTTATTTTTAGTAACTTAAGATCTTTTGTGGATATTCTGTTCTAATTATACTAAAGGAATTTTGTTCAGATTTTTAATAACAGCTTTCTTCATTATCTAATCAGTTTAGAGCCTACACTTTACCACCTGATATTTTTCATCTAAACAACACTCAAGACTTGCTGATCTTTTTAATTTCTAAGCCCAAAAAGGAGGATAACACTAGAGATTCTGAGTTTATACCACAAGGTTCTTTGTTTTCTGTTCATCTGTCTAAGCAGTCCTGTTTTCATATGCTCATAGTTTTGACATTAATAATCTACTTAGCTTCTCAACGGCTTAATTTAGATTTTCTCTACTAGAGGAAATACCCTAGAAAGTGACTATAGAAATACCACCTTACTATATGAGAGGTGTTTACCCAGTGCTTAGAACTAATTCATTATCTTAGTAGTTTATTGATTAAACTAATTTGTTATATTATAAAATCATACATTTGAGGTTATTTATAAGGACTGGAAAATTTAGAAGAATTAAGAGGTCTAAGAATATGTTTGAAATACATTGTCTAAGTTGACAGAAAATTTAAAACTGTCTTAATTAGACTCTTTGTGGGACATCAACTTACAGGAGGCTAATAGGCCCAGAAAAAATGTCCAATTACCCAAAATAAAAACTTAAAATAGTTCACTGCTTTGTACTGGGAAATACTAGATTTTAAGAGGATGGTATTATAAAAACACAAGAGGAAGAGTTATCCATCTATCCTTTTACCTTCAATGCCAAAAGATCCCAAACAGGTAAATCTTATTTTGAAAATCATCATCTATGGGTAACCTTTTTCACTTTTTTTTTTTTTAATTTTCTGATTGAGGGTTTAGTCAGTAAGTACTTGTCCCTTGTGTCTAATTGAACTTCCATAAAGCAGATATTTATGGACATAGAGATCTAATTCCCAGCTCACCTTGTTTCATGTATGTTTTTATCTTCTTCAGAAAGTGGAAAAAAAAAAAAAACAACAACAAAAAACCCCTGTTGTAATAATCATTATTATTTTGGTGTATTTCACTAAACAACCATAAAGTTAAAAATATTATATATAGAAATCTTAGAGCAGTGGTTTGTTAGCAGATAAATACCATTTTTAATTTAAAAATGACCAAATGTAAAATCCAACATGAGACTGTTCGCTTTTGAAGGGAAAAAACATTACATAGTTCCTTGTTTTTATTTGCTTAGAACGTGAAACAGAACTTCCATCAAATTTGCTTTCTATTTTATAATAATTTCAGTCCTTGCTAGCTATTTTTATCTAAGCCACAACAGTTTATGGTCTGACACAATCCCTGTTCTGGTTTCTATTATAGATCCTATGTTTTATAAAAAACTGTGTTTACTTTAAATACCAAATCTCCAGAAGAGGCTTCTTCACAGTAACTTTGCATCCTTTGTGGGTTTCTGTTGCAAGGTTAGGAGGAGGTTTACCCTAATCTTACCAGCCCCCCAGCCCAGGCTTACCACCTGGTAAATGAAATCTGATACCAATCCAACAAACTTGTTACTTACAAAGATGTTGTTCAGGCAGTCCTTGATTTAAAACATTTTAAAAAGCACTAAACAGTATTCCTTCCAAAGACCTTTCCCAGTGTATGTTCAAAGTTACTGCTAATATTCTTTGCTATTCACCATACACTGAATTTTAAAACCCACTAAAAATATTGAATTGCTTTACCAAGATCAATATTAGTGCTAGAAGAAACCTTAGTTCTCAAATCAGATTTCAGAACGTGTTTAGAAGAGCCCAAGGTTCTGCAGAGATGTCTCAGACTTACAAAGGGGCTGAGGAATGAACACATTGGGCTAAACATAACCATCTCTTCCAACCAAAAAGCAAACCAAACCTTTTTGCTGTTAAAAAGAATTATAAAATAGACAGTGACCTCACGGTTTTACAGCATATGCAGAAATGTTTCATGTAGCTTCCTTAAAATGACTTGATAAAAGCCAAGGACGTAAAGCATAACTCAGTGAATAGAATTCTCTAGTGCTAAGTGAAAGCATCTCCAAACTAAAGAACCTACTGGTAATCACAATAGATCTAAGGAAAAATTAGATCCAAGACTATGTAGAGAAGTAAATGATACCCATACTATTCAAAGTGTATTCCCATGCTGGTCCATAAACTATTTGATGCAAGCCCATGTTAAATACAGAAATTGAGGATAACCAAACTTATTTAGAAACTTTCATGGTAATTGCCTCAACACCTAAGTGTGAGTGTATTTTATAAAACTATTTGTCCATGACAGATTGAAAATGTAAAAAAAATCAGTCCTTTATCACAGTCTTTCTAAATATTATTTGCTTCGTTGGCACTTTGGATAGAAACTAGGTAATTTGATGTTCTCTACTATTAAGGTTCTGCTGTGCTTATCCTTTGTGTTGCTGATTTGAGAGCTAAGCTATTCACTATATCTAGAATGCACAAGATGGGCATCTTGCTATACAGTTCAAATGTCTAACTGGTATTTCTAGTAGTATGGAGGTCTAGGACATCCCTCCAGAGAAAGGGATGTTCCACAGAAAGAACTCAATAGTTTATATTCTAATAATTGTGACTAATTTTATCACTACAGACTATTCTTGTTCAGTCCTGGTATCCAATCACAGTGGCCACAAATTCTAGAGAGCAGAAGAAAATATTGGCCAAATATTTGCTGGAGACATCTGGTAACTTAGATGGTCTGGAATACAAGTTACATGATTTTGGCTACAGAGGAGTTTCTTCCCAAGAGGTAAGAAACTGAAATGAACTTCATTTAATAGAACGTGGTTTGGTTTGTTGGTTAGATTACCGTTATAAATTTGGGGGAAGTTACTGATACTGATCTTGGTTCTGAGTAGGCTACATTTTAAAAATTCCAGACATTCGGTCAATATATATATTAAGTACCTACTATGTGTTAGCCTCTGTTCAGAGTACGTGGCAAATGTCCCTATCGTTTATATATTGGATGGATGGACAGACATATAATGTTATATATTATAATAAATTTAGCAGGTGTCAGATAATGTTCTATAAAAAGGCACAAGACAGAGTAAGGGAAAAGAGGCTGGTGGGAAATGGGGGTGGGTCACTATTCAGTAGGTCTCTTGCAGGAGGTAACGGTTGACTCCTTAAAGATTTAGGAAAACTGGATCTTTGTCATAGGAAGTGTTATCTCTGATAATAGTTAAATGTCCAAGAACAGCTGAAGACGGGGCACCTGGGTGGCTCAGTCGTTAAGCGTCTGCCTTCGGCTCAGCCTGGGATCGAGCCCCGCATCGGGCTCCCTGCTCCGCGGGAAGCCTGCTTCTCCCTCTCCCACTCCCCCTGCTTGTGTTCCCTCTCTCGCTGTCTCTGACAAATAAAATCTTTTATTTTTTTTTATTTTTTTATTTTTTTTTACAAATAAAATCTTTTAAAAAAAATTAAAAAAAAGAATAGTTGAAGACAATTCCTTTGAGAGATACACTTTATACCTCAAAGCATGGGTCTTTTTCTTTTGTTGGATTTTGGTTTGTGGTTTATTTTCCAGACTGCTGGCATAGGAGCGTCTGCTCATTTGGTTAACTTCAAAGGAACAGATACAGTAGCAGGAATTGCTTTTGTTAAAAAATACTATGGAACGAAAGATCCTGTTCCAGGCTATTCTGTTCCAGCAGCAGAACACAGGTACGATTCTGTTTTCATCCTCCTATTTATCTAAACATTTGTTTTCTAAAATGACTTTTTTCACTCTTGTATTGGTGATTCAGTGATGTTTTGCTTAATTACAAACCAGGGACTACAGTAAATCTTCACAAATGTAAGCAATACAAATTCAGTATTTATAGTAGGTATTGAAAGATTAGTATCAGAGAGAACTTGGAACCATCCTAATAAAAACTGCTGAAGAGCCTTCTTTTGACTCTTTCATTGCCATGTAAGTTTTAAGAACTTTTAAGAACTGCTCTATTACCACATGCAGATATGTTTTATTTGTTAAATCTAGGAGCACTCCCTGTAAAACTTGGTCACTTTTTCTTATTTCCTGCTTTCTGCATGCCCTACAAGTTGTCACCTGGACCCAGTACCCTCTATTGTAGAAGAGCAAGGCCCTTTGCTTCCTTATCGGCTCTGGCTAAGCCAGCTTAAGTTAAATGAGAAGGCAGTTACAGTCTCGAGTGCAACTGCTCTGCTTCGACAATTAACTTTATTCAAAGTCAGTGGAGCTTTTACAGTATATGCCAGACCTAGTTTCTGGTTCTTAATAACCAAAATTATTTACTGTAATCGGTTTGGGGAGGTTTATTAAGTTCTATTCATACTTGGATATCGCAGGGTGCTAAAACCAGCAGTGAGTTTTAGAATAAAGCTGAGGTTTTATCCAAGGCAATCTACTGGGTGCTATAAGGGATAGAAAGATACAAGAAATGGACCCTATCTTCAGTACAAAAATAATATACTAGTAACATTCTGCTCTGTTGATGAAGTACTTTTAAAGAAGTTAAAGTGCTCTAGTGGTACAAGGGAAGGAAAGGAAAGATGTTACCCCACTGGCAGGATCAGGAAGGCTTTTTGTAGAGATGGTTATGTGAAATCATCACTTCTTGAATAAATAGCAAAATTTAATGGCAGACATGAGAGATCGATCATTCTCGGAGTAAATCTTTATTGCATGCCTACCACAGGTCAAGTATTGTCCTCAGCAAGAGTGAAAGAGGAGAGTGAATGTGTTTAGGGGATACGGGCTGAAACATAAGAGAGATTTTGTTGGGAACATAGGGGTAGACCCAAGACAGGTTAGTAAAGGTCCTCAAATTCATTTGACATTGAATGTTAACTGCACATCATGCTAGGTTAATCTAATTACTTTTTCAAATGAGAGTGAGCATTGACGTTTTGAGCATAAGCAGCTTTGTCATCAGAGAAATATTTTAGGAAGATTGTTTTGATAGTAGGCTATCCTATAACTTGACAGAAACAAGAAGTTAGGAGGCTGAGTAGGAAGCTGTTGCAACAGTTTGGAGATGACAAGATGCAGAACCCAGTGGTTCAGTGAATGGCAAGAAGTGGCTAAACAGCAGTGGCTTGGGAGATGAAATTGCTAAAACTTGATGATTAGGCTGGGGCTGGTAGAGGGTAGATTCTGCATTCATGGGCACTGCTGTATCAGTAGGGCCTTGTTGAATACTCTCACGGTCAAGACTCATGAAAGTGGGAACACAGGAATGTCATCAACAGATGAAGGTTCTAGGATTACAGTATTTTTATTTTGGACTTAGATGTATGTCCATCTTCTAAAAACTTAAGTAGTATCTGCAGGCACCTGGATGGCTCAGTGTGTTGAGCAGCGGGCTCTTCACTTTGGCTCAGGTTATGATCTCAGGGTCCTGCGTCAGGTTGCACGCTCAGCAGGAAGTCTGCTTGTCCCTCTCCCTCTGCTCCTCCCCCCATCCATGTTCTCTAAGAAGTAAATAAATCTTAAAAAAAAAAAATAGTATCCTTATATTAGACTCTTCACTGATGGTTTTGTTTTCACAGTAGTAACATCACGAGTATGATACTGTAAATCTGAGAATAAAGACATATTTTCTCAGGGTTTTCATGTTAAAACAGAGTGAAATCCATTTTAAAGTCTCATAATATTTGCTACACTTGTCAGTTTGACTCTATAAGAATATTTCAGATGTTCTTAAATAGAACAATCTTTTAAACAATAGCATGGTATAGTGAAAGGAGCTTTGGACTGAAAGCTGGGAAATCCGAGTGACCCAATGAACCCTACAGCTGACAGTCTAGGTGGCCTTGAGCAGTTTGTCCATCCAGCCAAACAAAAGGAGGAGCTAAAATTCCAGGTCTCCAACATCAGAAGGTCATTAAGGATAAATGAGCTAACATCTAAATAACTTCAGGATAGAACTCGAAAAGAGCATTGCCATTATTGTTACAAATATTTTAAGGAATATACGAATCTGGACTTAAAAACATATGCTGTTATTGTTTATTTTAACAGGACTTTTCTGTTTTCTTCCCAATGTACTACCAGTTCACAAACTTAGATTCTTATTTTGCCCTATTCATATAATGGTTATTCTGAGATTGTACAAAAGCAAAGCCATGCTTTCTTATAGCCAGTAATAACACATTTTTTAAAAAAACCCACTGAACCCAAGGATGTGGGGAGAGTTTGGTTGACCAAAAAATTTAAGAGAGATGTATTAGTCTATTTAATGTGGAACCCAATTTAAAATTGTACATCATGTGGTTAATAAAATGCTACTTTTTTGAGCTTATGTAAAACTGCCTTGTTAAACTATATAAGTAAAACAAAAATAAATAGAACATGGAAGAGGAAAAAAAATATGCTATTATATAATCTTTCCCTCAAACTTTGGAAAGATAATTTGATTTGATGCTGGAAATTGGAATATGGCATTAGTAGAATTCATTGAACAAATATTTATGAGCTCCATATACCTAATACTATTATCAGAAGAATAGGTGTTACAATTGGATTATGTAGAGGGCGCTGTAGGAAATGTCTCCACAGTGATCCATATAATAATCATCTTCCTACCTAACAAGTAGATCTGGAGTCCAGAAGAAAAACCTGGACTCTTAAGGTACAGATTTTGGAAACCCTTACCACAAGGGAATTTTGAGTGTTTTTCACAAAGGGATGTGGATGAAGGAAAGCATGCACTGGGTCAGAGCCTATGGTTAGATTGAAGAAGAACACAGCCTCTGAGGGAGACTAAAGAGGAACCACAGAAACAGGAAAAAAACAAATAAAAATGGGGGCGAGGTCACTGAAGTCATGAGAAAGAAAGCTTCAGGGAAGTTCAAGTACCAAAGAGAAAGCAAGTAAAAGACTAAAATGAACAATGAAGTGCGGTCGGTGATACAAAGAGCAGAGTTAGGTGGCTGTACTGATACAGCGCTGGGAAAACATCCTGTGTAGGCGACGAGCTTTCCCTGCGTGAGTTCATGCTTACATTGCAAAGCTTTCTAGTGTTGGCATTCTTTGAACTCAATTCTCTCCATCCTTACAAAGAGGACAGTAGTAGTTCTTGATGGGAAGAAGGGGCTTCTCTTCATCCATGTCTTAATTTTCCCTTTAGCCTGCAGATGCTGGCGTGAAGTAGGGAGCTGGCTTCGGAGCTACTGGCAGCCTCTGTACTTGTCAGGAAAAGTGTTCACTCCAAAATGAGTTTCATGTGACTAGACATGCCGTCTCTCCATTTCAGATAAAAGGAGTCTCTGGATAGCTAAGTCTTTATAACCCTGAAGTGTCCATGCTCTGTTAGCACCAGCATATCATTGACAGCATGGGAAAATAGTTTACTCCAGTCCTTTAGGGGGAAGAAACAAAACCCATAATTAAATGACAGTTTCAGTCATAGATTAGTATGACTCTTTAAACAGTTTTGAGGGGTGCCTGGGTGGCTCAGTCATTAAGCATCTGCCTTCAGCTCAGGTCATGATCCCAGGGTCCTGGGATCGAGCCCCGCGTCGGGCTCCCTGCTCGGCAGGAAGCCTGCTTCTCCCTCTCCCACTCCCCCTGCTTGTGTTCCCTCTCTCGCTGTCTTTCTCTGTCAAATAAATAAATAAAATCTTTAAATAGTTTTGAGATAAACTTGTACGTACATGGGGTTCTACAATAAATGAATGGGTTGTCTTCCCATTATTTTACTTAGAAAAATGGAAGTGGTAGAGATGAAGACTGGAAAATTAGGGAGAAGGAAAAATTGCTTGGCATGAGGAACTGGTAACAGTTTTCAAATTCATTATTAAATTGCTTGACTTATATTTATTAGCCAAGAAGTACTTGTTACATATTATTAATCTATTCAATAAGGAGAATCGTTATTGAGGACATTTTAAAAATCACTATAGCAGTTTTTCCCTAATACATACTCTCACATTTTATTTCCCATCTTAATCATGTTTTGCCCAAACTAAGTATTAAAATTCTTACAGTCCCTGGGCATGTATTAATTAGTAGTGGATACTCTATAGATGAAATAAATGGCTGCCTCTTATTGGCCATTTGAAAATGTAACCAGTAAAGGGTTAGTTGACTATATGTATATATAGTACAGTATAAATAATTGCCTTAGTAATTGCCTTTAAGTATAAGATTTTTAAAGTTCAAAAAGACAAATATATATCCCTGCTATTATTGGTATGTGGTTTTGAAAATTCACAGAAGGGAGCCAAGTGCTTGCATTGCCTAGCAAAGTAATAGGAATATGTGTTCATTCTTTCTGACATCTTGGCATAATGTACAGAGTGCATTCAGCAGGTGCTTTTTTTAGCTAACTGATTTGATTTTTTTTTTAAGTAAACTCTACACCCAACATGGGGCTCAAACTCACAACCCTGGGATCGAGAGTCACATGCTCTACTGCCTGAGCTAGCCAGGCGCCCCTAGTGAACTGATTTTAAATGAGTATTTTAAATAACTCTTTAAAATCAAAAAATTTTGGGTGTATTATGAATACAAAAAAATTTGGGTGACTATGACTTTAAGCGTTAAAATAACTATAGTTATTTTCAGCCAAGGGGTGTCGTGGCCCAAATAGTCAATGAACCTTATGATGTGTATTCATTAAGCTAAATCCCTCACCTTCTTTGCGCTGTTGCTGGTGTAAGTATAGTACATGAGATATGATTCAGCAATAGATGTGTCTGCCTAAGTAAATCTCTGTTTGCATTTTGTTTTCTAGTACCATAACAGCTTGGGGGAAAGACCGTGAAAAAGATGCTTTTGAACACATAGTAACACAATTTTCATCAGTGCCTGTATCTGTGGTCAGCGACAGCTATGACATTTACAACGCGTGTGAAAAAATATGGGGTGAAGACCTAAGACATCTAATACTGTCAAGAAGTACAGAGGCACCACTGATAATCAGACCTGATTCTGGAAATCCTCTGGACACTGTATTAAAGGTAAATTTTAACACATAACTTGATTATTAAAATGCCTGCAGATGAGCTATATCAGTACTATTTTAATTTCATTTGTGCACATGCCTTTTCAGAACTATCTATTTTAGAAATTGCAGCCCAGGGGGCGTAATAAATTTGTCCAAGGCTACAAAGTTCTGGGTTATTTATATGTTGTCAAATAGATAATAACATTGAACAGATATTTTCTACTTACCTTGAAAATTCATTAGTAACATTAATCCTGTGATTTGGTTACCAAGTTTGTGGTTTGTTTTCTTTACCCCAACCTTTGAAGTTTTTAGTGCAAAAGAAATACATGCAAGGTGACATGGAATTAAAAAGAATTCGAAAATACTTTTTAGGTAGTCATTCTTTGGAGATACTGTTGATCCTCAACGTAGCATTTCTGTTTTGGTGTTTTTGTTTTTGTTTTTTAGCGTTCAGGACTTGGTTTGCCTTCTTTGAAAATCAGTAGTAAGAGCAGGTTATTTGATGCCTGCCACTAGAAAAATATTGTGTTAGGTGCTTTACTTAAGCTGTGTCATTTAATCTCTATGAAGACCCTATGATAAATATTACCATCTGTTTTATAGACAAAGCAACAGACTTAGGTTAAAATAACTTGCTAAAGGTCATACAACATGTAAAATATGCCAAGTACCCAACATAGATCTTTCTGGCTCCTGCCTTTCCACTTTACCACACTTTCCCAGCTAATTGAGTAGATGATAATACTACTTACCCTTGAGAAAGGAGGCTATAGAACCAAGGAAGTCCTTTCCTGTTCCATTCAGTAATAGGCCATTTTGAAGGTCTCAGTCTGAAATACTAATAAATTTGGTTTTAGCAAACTTAACAGGTTTCATGTTTTCCCTGTTACCTAATAAAAATGTACTGACCTAGTTAAGAATAAACCAAGTCATCAATATGTAATTTTCTCATTGGTAAAAATCTTCATTTAGGAAAAGGGAGTGATTGGGGGTAAATATATGTCTGGTAGGTCTTTTATATCGCTGACCAAGCTTTCTGAGAAATTTTAGATCAGTGTTCAGGAATTTCATCTGTTCTAAAACTTAGTAGGCAATGAATGAGCAGGATGATTTGCATAATATGCAATTTGTCTTTAAAAAAATGGGTGTCACCTTTAAATGAGAACTCCAGAGAAACTTGGGTTATATATACTTCATTTCCAGCTTTGCATAGCATAATTTCTTTGAGGTTTGTAATTCATATTTGGGTTCTATCAGACAAAATAAGCCAAAAAGGGGCACCTGGGTGGCACAGTTGGTTAAGCGTCCAGCTCTTGATTTCTGCTCAGGTCATGATCTCAGGGACGTGGGATGGAGCCCCGCATCAGGCTTCGCACTTTTAAGATTTTCTCTCTCTCTCTCTCTCCCTCTGCCCCTCCTGCTTGCTCTCTCTCTCAAGTAAATAAATCTAAAAAAATAAGCCAAACAAACTGTTGGGCATAGGCAGAATAAATCTAAATCATAATTATAGGTTTGTCAAATGATGTTTTATATACCTACTAAAAATATGATATTTACTGTTTTTGATTCATTGACCTCCGGGTTACGGGCCCGCATGCTTTCACTGGGCCACTCTGCTCACTTATATTTACTGTTTTAATTTCCTAATGTTAAAGATTTTTTTCTTGAATCTGTATAATTTGAAAGATGGGAAGGAGAAAACTTGTATTTTGAGCAACTTTACAGTATAAATTGATAGGAGAGAAAAATAGCATGCCTGTTTCTAATATAATCAAAAGGAGTTAAGACCAAATTTTAGAAGGCTTGTACATAGTGTTGTAAAACGTTTTAAGTAACTTGATCAATTTTTATATTCTCAAGATTGTTTAGCAAATTGTCATTTTTTTAACTGTGGAAAACTTTTACACATTTTTTTTTCAGTTGTAGTTATTTTGTGTCGGGTGTGTATTTTCCCCTACAGGTTTTGGATATTTTGGGTAAGAAGTTCCCTGTTACTGAGAACTCAAAGGGCTACAAGTTGCTGCCACCTTATCTTAGAATTATTCAAGGGGACGGAGTAGATATCAATACCTTACAAGAGGTATGTATTTTATATTAAAGTTCCAATAAAGCAATCCTTAGAATTAAGTTTCCTTATCAGTTTGATAAATAGCACGTTAAGTACAGCTGTGATTCTTTTCATAAATGTTTACGATCGTATGTCTTTTCTGTTAATTGCTTAAAATTTATAAACACAGTTGATTCTTGAATAATGCAGGAGTTGCATTATTATACTCCCTCCACCCAGCACAGTCAGAAATCCATATATAACTCTTGACTCCCCCAAAACTTAACTCCAGATAGCCTGCTATTAACCAGAAACCTTACCAATAACAGTTGAACACATATTTTGTCTATCCTATGTGTTATACACTATGTTCCTGTGGTAGACACAAAACCTTAAATGTTTTATCACCAGATGTTTCTCATTCCCTCATTTCTTTCATTCCCCCAACCCTAACCACAGTCAGAATGGCAACACCACACATGCAGGAGCTTGGAATGAAATCCCCTCCTTTCACAATTATACCTTTTTGAGGTGGGGAGGTCTTTTAAAAGAGAAAACATGGAATATAACTCTGTAGGCCTTACTCTTACCTCACCACGTATGGTGTTATAAAATGGCTCTAGGATGTTTTTATTCATCAATATGACTCAGCAAAAATAACCTTCCTCTATCATTTAATCCTCTAGATTGTAGAAGGCATGAAGCAAAAAAAATGGAGTATTGAAAACATTGCCTTCGGTTCTGGTGGAGCTTTGCTACAGAAGTTAACAAGAGATCTCTTGAATTGTTCCTTCAAGTGTAGTTATGTTGTAACCAATGGCCTTGGGGTATGTCCTTCAACTTTTACTCCGGAGTTACTAACTTCTTTCTATGTCTGACTGTTGCATTGAATAACTGCATTCTACCGAAGGATGTGGTCCTAAACTCATAATATGTTGTCATGTACCACTGACCTTGACTCAAAACAAAGAAAAGAGACATTAGGTAAAAAATAACATGACTTGGAGAGAGGAGGAAGAATAAGATTTAAGAGATGATACAGGCCAGTCATTTCCCACTGCTTCAGTATCTTACCTTTGAGTCAAAAAGCTGACCATTTCGGGTGGGAATGCCAGCTAACCCAGCCATCACATATTAAAGATAAGTACGTCAGCACTGTCAGTGTTTTAGGAAGGTGGAGCATGAGGTTGGAGTTGTGATACCAGAATCCCGTTCTAATAGCCTTAAAACAGGGGAACCCAAGCTTTCTGTTTCAGGCAGCTGAACAGCAGTTGCCCTGACCCTTCATAGACTTTCAAGAATCTGTGGATCCAAAGGTGGGAGTCAGGGATACTAAGAACTCCTCAGAACACCTGGGTTGGTTCCCTGCTTTATTTACTTCATTTCTGTCTGTCTTTGGAAAGTTCTGGGGTTGATTCACTACTTCTTTTTTGTTGGCCTCCTACCTTCTGATCTTTAAACAAACCTGTTCTCTTCAGGTTCTCTAGGTCTTCTTTGCTTTTCACAATAACAAGGAATAGAGTAAAAAGTAACAAAAGGAGAGGTTATCAAGTAATGGAATGAATGGAAGCCTTTACCTTAGTAAAAATTCTAGTTCCCTTGCCACAGATTCTGTAATACATTTGACAGATTTTTTTTTCAGTAGCGTGCATGTGCTATAACTTGAATCAGTTAAAGGCAATTCAAAATATAAAAGATCCCTTAAGGGTTACGTGTTAACTTCAGTGACATCCTACAACTAGAGTAGTAGGTATCTACAGCGGTAAGAAAGGATATTCAGTACTTGGATTTTGTTCATACTTTACATAATGGAGGACTCTGTCCTCCAACACAGGCTAGAGTTATGCTTCTAAAAGCCAGATGTGGATTCGTTTAGTTAGACCTATTAAGTACCTAAAGTTTATGTATAAATTATGTATAAATTTTTTTCTTTAATGGGAATTGAGTGAACGTTTCTGATTAGTCTTATTTCTCTTTCTTCCAGATTAATGTCTTCAAGGACCCAGTTGCTGATCCCAACAAAAGATCCAAAAAGGGTCGGTTATCTTTACATAGGACACCAGCAGGGAATTTTGTTACACTTGAGGAAGGAAAAGGAGACCTTGAGGAATATGGTCATGTATGTTATCTATGCTGATCTTTTTTTTTTTAACAGTAGGTTAGCTTTCCAAATTAAGAAAGGGGGCTCTTATGTTGTATTTTTTAATTATTTTCAAAACAAATTTTTTCTTGAAGGACAAAGTACTTTTGTTGTAAAAAGTATACAAATGCTGACCTAGCCTACCAAAATAAGATGAAAAACAAGGTGGGGCTAGATCCTAAGTGAGATTGTACATACAGTGGAGTGAAAAACTTTATGACATTAAAAAAACAAAGTAAAAGTTCTTTCACATAGTGACCCGCAGGGTAGTGATTGATGAGCTTCAACAAGCTTTTGTGTATTTGATCTTACTCTTAGTGCCAGTTTAGCAGCAAATAATTTCTGAAGAGGAATAGCCAAGAATACTTAAAGGAAGCTATTGATGTTAGAGTAAAATTTTGGTAATTTTAATAAAGGAAGGGCTATCCAAATTCTGAGATATTCTTAAAGATAATTGTATTTTTTTTAACTTAACAGAATCCAGTCAAGATAGTTTTCTTTAGTCTCATATGATTCTCACAGCAATTCTGGGCTAAAAAAAAAAAAGCAAATTATGTTACATTAGTGTAAGATATGAAAAGGCCAAGACTGGATTCTGATGACATAATAATAATTGGTGAAACCTAAGACTTAACCAAGCTTTCGGATTCAAATCAACCAACTGGAAAAATTTCTAGTGTGCTGAAGTGGTCCATATGATCTAACAGTCTTTAACATGCAAAAGTACACTTATATTCGTGAACTCGGAAGTTACAAAATTTATTTAAGCTACTGGATTGAAAAAACTCACTTTTAGAGGGAAAGTACTCACGAACATTCATATTATCAGAAAGAAGTTAATACCCAAAAAAAAGTTTATACCAAACATTAATTTATCACTATGGATTCTTAATACCATATCAGATATTCTGCTTAAAGTATATTACTTTAATATTCTTTAAAGATTTTGAGCCAAAATATTTTTCTGTCTTTACTGAAAAGTATTTAATCCCTAAACTAACTTTTAGGTCTAGCCTGTTGTTTAGGGCTTTGGTAGCCTTCACTTAACTCTTTTTAGCTACCAAGTGTTTCCAGATGGACTAGAGTCATTTTAGACACAGACCTAACTATGATTTTAAAAAGGCACTGATTTTGAGTATGTAAATGGTACTCTGGAACGTTTGAGGCAGTAATCGATTATAATCCTAAATGACATTTTAAGAGTAGGAACCACCATTCTCTGATAGTACTTAACTTTATGAAAGAAAAGGTCACATACCTCAATCTTGATGGAAAACTTAGGCATGACAGATTATGTCTGTGGGTGTTTTAAAGAGAAACTAAAGGCAGGCAGACAGTTCCTTAGGGAGACCAAGTGGCTTTTCCAGACCCAAAAGGGGATTTAGTTTTAATTCTTGATTGTTGTTACCCTTGCGTAGATCAAATGGATTACATGTATCAGTAACTTCTGGAATATACACAGTTTTTAAATCAGTCACCGTGCGTTCACCAAGAAATCAGTACTTTTGTTTCTGGTTTGGTTTCTTGTTTTTTTAGGGGTTTTTTTTTTTTTGGTTTAAGTCCAAAACTCGGTGACTAGGAAATTTATTAATTGGGTTGGTAAGTTTATCAGTGTTGAGTCTGTTGTCTAGGAACAAGGGAAGGTCTGGCAGGCTCTCTTTGCTCACTATCAGTCATGATGATCAGCGACAGCATGACTCTTCTGGGCAGCAAGCATCTTCCACCTGAAAACAGAGATGGATCAGGTAGTGGGGTTTTTTTGTGTTTGTTTTTCCTTCAAGGAAAACTTTTAAGAATATTTAGATCATTGCTTCTTTTAAAGCTAAATATTTTTACATAGCCCTTTTAGATATTGCCACGCTCTCTGCCTGCTCCACCAGCATTGTATATAAAGTTATTTCATAATTTGAACACCATCAAACATCTCTGTATTTGACTAGTCAGTCTGATTCATCAAAGCATTACTGAAGTATATTTTGCTTGATAGTCTAATATAACCATTACATTTTAATGTTATTATGTTTGTACAGGATCTTCTCCATACTGTCTTCAAGAATGGGAAGGTGACAAAAAGCTACTCATTTGATGAAATAAGAAAAAATGCAGAGCTGAATATGGAACTGGAAGTAGCACCTCATTAGGCTTTATGAGTGGGTGTGTGTGCTCGCCTGCGTGTGTGTGTGTGTACGTGCATGCACACACGTGGACACCTGCGTGTGAGTATATAATAATGTTTATTGTACAGATGTGTGGGGGTTTGTGTTTTATGATACATTACAGCCAAATTATTTGTTGGTTTATGGACATACTGCCCTTTCATTTTTTTTTTTTTTCCAGTGTTTAGGTGATCTCAAATTAGGAAATGCACTTAACCATGTAAAAGATTAATGCTAAAGTAAGCTTTTTAGGGCCCTTTGCCAGTAGATAGTAATTCAATCTGGTATTGATCTTTTCACAAATAACAGAACCCAGAAACTTTTATATATAACTGAAGATCACATAAAACAGATTTGCATAAAATTATCATTGATTGCTTTATGTTTATATTTAACTTGTATTTTTGTACAAACAAGATTGTGTAAGATATATTTAAAGTTTCAGTGATTTAACAGTCTTTCCAACTTTTCATGATTTTTATGAGCACAGACTTTCAAGAAAATACTTGAAAATAAATTACATTGCCTTTTGTCCATTAATCAGCAAATAAAACATGGCCTTAACAGAGTTGTTTGTGTTATTGTACAATTTGAAAATTATGTCAGGACATACCCTATAGAATTACTAACCTCACTGCCCCTTGTAGAATATGTATTAATCATTCTACATTAAAGAAAATAATGGTTTTACTGGAATGTCTAGGCACTGTACAGTGATTATGTATGTTGGTCATTGTATTGTACCAGTGAAATGCCAAATTTGAAGGCTTGTACTGCAATTTTATATGTCAGATACTGCCTGTGGCTCTAACATGCACCTCAAGATTTTAAGGAGATGTTTTTAGAGAGAATTTCTGCTTCCACTATAGAATATATACATAAATGTAAAATATTAACAAAAGTGGAAGTAGTGTATTTTAAAGTAATTACACTTCTGAATTTATTTTTCCTATTCTATAGTTGATATGACTTAAATGAATTACCGGAATGGGTAGTGAGTGTACTTATTTTAAATGTTTTGATTCTGTTATATTTTCATTAAGTTTTTTAAAAATTAAATTGGATATTAAATTGTATGGACATCATTTATTAATTTTAAACTGAATCCCTCAAATAATGCTCAACCAAGTTCTTAAATGAGGATAAATTAAAGCATGATGACATGAGTTTGAATAGAAGAATCTTAACCAAGAGTAGTAAGTTGGCTACATTCAAAGTGTTCAACATCAAAATGTGATTAACTGCTAGATTCTGACTCAGTCATCACATCTGACTAGAGACCAGTTTCAATGATTCTTTTCTATTTACATCTGTTCTGAGGCAGGAGTTGGCCAGCTATGGCCCACAGGCCAAGTTCAGACTGCTCTCCTTTTTGTAAATATTGTCTATGACTGCTTTCTCAGGACAGTGCAGAAATCGAGTAGTTACATAGTGACTGTATGACCCACAAAGCGTGAGAAGTTTAATTATCTGGCCCTTTGCAGAAAAAGTTTGTTGACTCCTGGGGTCTAAGAAAAGGAGTGTGTGCCTTGAAGTTTAAGAGAAATGTTGATTTCCAGGGAAGGGAGGAAGCTATATGTTGATAAGGAGTTTGTCTCTCTTTTGTCCTTTCTCTTCTTATTCAAGAATCTGATCTTGGAAGACTGATTTTGAAAGCTTTAACTACATGACATTAAATGTGAAACTTTAAAAATTAAAAAGCCATAAATCATCTGTCCTAAACAGTTACATGAGAAAGGTATTTATCAGTAGAATAATGTCTCTTAAAAACATCATTAAAAAGAACATGGTTTTTGCAGATGATTCTAAACACTTGTTTATTGAGAATAATAAGCATTATTCACTTTTATTAAGAGTTTTCATCCTGTAATTCCTAGTGGAAAATAATTTTAAGCTGATTCTTTTAAATGTATCAAGTAAAAATTAGTATTAAAAACACAGCTTTCTTCACAAAATGTGCTAAGGGGCTTCTAGAGAATTAAAAAACCATATTTATTACCAAATAACAACTTTGATAACCACCCGTAATTTTGATTTTGTTTAAACATCGGAATTATACTAGAGACAATATTCTTTGTGTACTGTGAATCCCAGCAGTTTCAGAGTAGCTAGAGGAGTTTTATTTTAAAACTTTCAGTGAATGCTAAACTCTGTACGTTTGTACATGGCCATAGATTGCAGAGGGGTGGAATGATTAATTAGCCACTTGGAACTGATTCATCTGAATTTCTGTGACTAAGCACTTAATATTTGGCCATCCCCATTCTCAGTAGCAAATGGTTGACATAGTTATCAAATAGAATTCTGCTGTGTGTCACCTTTAAATCAGCCTGACTCTTCCAGACAAAAGCAAATGGCATGTATGGGTTTGCTTCAGTCATTAGATTTGCAGTTGATGTCAGTTAATCCCTCTCAATTCATAATATCATGAAGTATTTGTATTTTAAATAGAAGATAGGAGTTCTGCATTAAGACTCTTTATTTGTATTCTATACTTCAAGTCAAATGGTTTTAATGATTATCCCTTATTTCCTTTCTTTAAATAAATTGTTATGAAAATATTTTATAATGAAATTCATCTTGGAGAACTAGAAAGAGAAAAATGGCAAGGTAATTATTGTTCTGTTTGCCATAATTTAGAATTCAACACTTCAAGGCTTTTGTAGTTTTACATTCCTTTTTAACCCATTCAGTGGAGAACGTCCAGCTTTTCTCCCAAGTTGTATGTCAATTCTAATATGTATACAACATCAAAGGTGAACATGTAATAAACATGGAAATAAAGTTTAGCTCTGTTAGTGAAATGATAAAGTTGACTGTGTGCTTCAAATACTGGCCATTTCGAGATTTACCCCCTTTTAGGTATTCCTCCAATTCAAAGAACGAGAAAAGGAGAGAGGCATCAAGGACGACTGCTCTATTTCCTGCCTTGTGCAGCTATCTGAATGGCAGTGCCTCTTACTAAGGACACTGAAGGGAGACCAGATTTGGGGGGAAAGGGCACGAGTCCTAGGTTAAGATCTGAGATGCCATAGAGACATCTAAATGTGGCTATCAGGGACACGGGGGTCTCCAGGTACGAATGTGATGTACAGCTGGTCATGAGAGACACAGGAAAGGGTACTTCTCTAGGGAGACAGACGACGGCCTGGCAAACCATATGCCACACCCAGCCCGTCTGTTTTTGTAAATGCAGTTTGATTGGAACAGGCCACCCGCATCGGTCCCATTATTGCCTGTGGCTGCTTTCACGCTACAGTGGCACAACTGAGAAGTTGTGACAAAGACCTTAAGGCCTGCAGAGCCTAAAATCATTTGCTTTATGGCCCTTTAAAGAAAAAAATGTGCCAATCTCTGCTGGAGGAAGGGTATAAAGAAAAGAGGACCCAGGGCAAACTCCGGGGAACTCTAAAAAGTTAAGTGGCAGAAGCTAAGCAAAGAAGCCGGACAGGTAGAAGCTAAAGAGATGAAGGGAAAACCAGGAGGAGTAAAGGAAGGATGAAAGAAGGGAGTGCTTCTGCACGGTGTCGATGCCGCCGAGAGACCGAGTAGAGGGAGGGACTACAGGCGCCCGCTGGACTGAACCTGGAAAGAACTAGCGGCTTACAGACAGACATTCCCTCCACAGCAGTAGAGACGGCACACGGCAGAAAGCGGCCGCCTTACAAAACTGAATTCTGGATGTAAAAGAGAGGCAAGAAATGAGGCAACAGAGTGTCTTCCCTTCCTTCCCTTTTTAGCTCCTGCTAAAGGATTCGGGAAAGAGGGAGAAGTTGAAGGTAACAGAGCCAGGAGGACTCCATGATGGTGCTGGGGTCCAAAGAGGGTGGAAGACGATGGGGTCCAAAGCACTGGTCGAGGGACTGGCACGCTTGCAGACGGGCGTGGGATAGGTGCGCGTGCAGGCTGTGGTTTTCTCTATGAAGCCAGAGACCAAAGGGGATTGGGCTTTTGAAAAAGGAGGTTTTAAAATAGTTTTTGTGGGGAGTATAATAGGACTACAGAACAGTGTGGAGGACCCAACTGTTTGGTGACTGAGAACTTGAAAGTGAAAGTTGTGATTCTTTCGTTCCGTTCCATAGTAGCATCCTGATGCCTGGGTGCGGACACGGAGAACATGGAGATACGGGGTGTTTTGCCAGATGAGTCTGATAAAACAACGGGATGCTAATTGAGTAATTACTGAAATAATGGTCCTACGTAGCTAAACTGGACAGGTAAGGACGTGAGGGCTACGCAGAGCACCGGGAAGGTGGTAGGGAGCCCGAGGGACAGTCTGATAGCAGCTCTGATCTACTGGGAGTTGCTGGAACAGGCAGGTTTGAGAGGACAGGAGACACTAGTCTCAGACCAGGATGCTTGGATTAACCATCGGAGAGTAGCAAGTTCATGGTGTACGACTTTCCGGGGTAGGACCTTGCAGTGGCTAAATGCAGACGATCATGAGACACAAAACAAGATCAGGAAACCCGAGAGGGGAGTTGGGTTGGACAGTGGACGTTAGAATCATCCAGAAGGATGGCAGAAGTTGAAGTAGTAGAAGAAAGCTGTATGAGGCACCAGCATGTTCAGTGAGTGAAGGAAAGGGGCTGGGAGGTCAACAGGAGGCAGCAACAGTGAGCTGTGTGAGCCTCGAAGGGACCGGGCAGTGGGGACTGCTGACCCAGGCCAGCCTGCAAGAGGAGGAGCCCAGCCTCTCCAAAGCGTCCAAGCATGCGTGGACAAGTACAAACTGATAAAAAGCACTTTGCGTATTGCCAGAGGTTTGATGTCCTTTACCAGGCACTCAGTCAGTATTTGTTGACATCGTGAATGGAGGAAAGGAATAATCTCAATAAAAAATGTATTGATTTTATTAGCGTGCTACAAACACCCCTTCCATTGACATAGGCCCAAGTGTTCAAGCCTTTAAGTGCATTTTTGAAATTGCATTTTTTTATTTTGGATGGTTTGAATGTTTCAAGATTTACATTTTGTTTATAGTTATTTTTAAAAAAGCAGCCAAATAAAACCAGTCACCGCTCATGTATTCAGGTTCTTCCCACCTCATTTTAAATTCCTATTTTATTTGAAGTTTCTCTAATTGTGACCTGTTCCCCAGAGACAACTCCATCTTTATTTGGTTCACAGTTATTTGTTCTACTAAAACTTAGGAAAATATTTGTTTAGGTTATTCCAGCAAAGAGAAATATGTTCTTGAAAGGAATTTTAGAATCAAATTACCAACTTCACCCAAATTTCTTTAACTAACATAGAAGTGGGCCTTGATAATCAGGAATTTGCCCGTAGACTACCACAGGGCAACTGAGCCTTCACCTTCCTGGTATAAAGACTCTTGGTGACTTAGTAGTAGTAGTAGTAGTAGTAGTAGTAGTAGTAGTAGTAGTAGTATTCACAGGAGACATGGGGCTTTTACCACATTTCAGGGCTTGTGCTGCTCTCTTGGTGAGCAGAAGTTGACAGTTGACTTTTCTACCGGTTTATAGCATCGTCTCTGCAAAAAAAAAATACAATTTTGGCTTACACTGATTTGTATTCATCCCACAGAAATGAAGCATCATTCTTTGTTGACAACAAAATTCAATTTAAAAAGTTATCCTGACCAACTTTTTTTGTTTTATTCTATCATTGGTTACTGAGCTGTTGACTTCTTTGACTTAAACTTCAGGAAGACAGTTTTTAACTTAAGCCCTTGTGCTTTTGAGCAATCCTGATGAATTAATTGGCTACAAGTTTAATTCTGATGAGGTCCTCCTGAGTAGCTTGAAGATTTCTACCGGATTTCTGAGCTCGGGGGGAAAAATAACTTTATCTTCAACTTCTCACTTTCTAGTCCTTCCTCCTCGCAAACCAACATGTTCCTATTTCTCTCATCCTTTTAAAAACACTAACTCCCGTGGTAACACCGGCTGTACTCCCTTTTCCCATTCACCTCCAGAGTTGTCAAGCTGTGCACACTTGCCGCCTCACTTCGTGTTCCTTCCCGGCTGGTCCTCGTCCCTCACACGGTCACCTCCTGGTTGCCAACTAAGCGTGTTTAGTTCTTCTCTGACCAGAGGCCCTCTCCTCCAGTTGCCACTGCTAATAACCGGAACTCCTCCTCTGTGCGTGCGCTGCGGCGTGACGGGCCCCTCCCCTCCCCGGGCTCGTCCCACCTCGTCAGCGTCCTCTCCCAGCGGCCTCCACGTTCGTCTTGGCTCGTCTGCGCCATTCGCAGTCTCAGCTATCACCCTTATGCTGAAGCTTCTCCGCATGGATAGCTCTAGCCCCGACCTCTGAATTTTTCTATCGGTGATGCCTTGTCACCCAGATACCGACCTACTCAAAAACAACAGGTCCAAACGTAGCATATTCCTGAAGATCTACCTCATTTGGGGACTCAGCCAACCATCCAAGTGAGATTTCCCAACCCCACACATGTGATCCAACTCACAGTCCTGTTAATTTACCTACTAAATGTTATGATCTGTCTTCCCTCAAACTCCCATTTCAGACTTGCAGATCTCTTCCTGAAACAGCAACACAAAAAATATCTAACTAGTTTTCCTATGCCAGCCCCCTCTCCCTCCCATTGTACTACCAGAGTATTATTAACATAATCCAATAGTTTCAGTCCCCTGCTTAAAACACTGAAGCTCCCTCTAGCTTCCAGGATAATGCTCAGAATCTAGCCTAAACTACAAAACCCTCCTTGATCTGGCCCGTGCTGTGGAGCTCGCCTCTTGTTTTGCTTTTCATTTTCTGTGCCAGGATTAACTGACTTGCTCTACCTTACACACACTCATGCACACATATTCACAATACGCTCTCTTCTGTTTTCTCTGCCTTTGCTCATGCTGACTCCTCACCCAGGAATGCCTTCCTTTGGCCAACTCATTCTAGGTGATTAGGTGATTAGGTGATAATGCCTCCAAAAAGCATTCAACTCACTCACTCATCCCACACTCCATGGGCCCTTCCTCTGGGCTCCACAGGCATTGAGTGTATTTCTAAAATGCACTTGCAACCCATGGGTCTATGTCCTATGCTGTAGGACGTGTACAATGGCTTTTTATTCATCCCTATTTCCTGCACTCAGCTCACAGACATACAAATGTTTGTTGAATAAATGTCATTAAGATAAAGGCTTTTCTGTAATGTTTTGGTACCCTATGTAATGCTAATACCCTGGACGTTTTACTGAGTATTAAAAAAAAGAGTATTTTACCTTTTTTTAAAAAGATGGGTAACTTTCAAAGCATGTTCACATATTACTGTCTTTTTGAAAAATTATTACAGTACATTCATGAAATAAGGTGTTTAATCAAAATATAGATTAGAGCCTGGAGGTTAGACAATGGCATGGAGTACGACAACCCTAGGCTCACCTCATTCCACGAATACAGTGAGGTAATTATCAAATCATCCCAAATACCCCAGAAATTGACCTGAAGACTGGCAGAACAAACTCTATACCTAAAGAATAAAAGAGGCCACGTTGAAGAAGGTAGGAGGGGAGGGAGATGCAGTTTGGGACAGAAATGGATTGTGGCCAATGCGGTGGGAAGGGAGCTGTGGTTGAGGAGAAGGGCCAGAGACAGACTAACACATAGGGGAGCACACAGGAAAATGAATCCCCATAGCAGTTGGCTTCAAAAGTGAGAGGAGCCGAATTTTAAGAGTTCTTGAAACCAGCAGGACTTAAAGCCTGGAGTTTTAAAGGTCAGCAGGCTTGGCTGACATAGAACCCCGAGGGCACTGTGCAGCTCTGGGAGAGAATATAGTCAAACAACCGACGGACGTAAGCTTGGAAACAGTGATCTGAAGAGCACCCGGGGCACACAGTGGGGAGGTTATTTGCTCATCTTGGAGCACGTCCCAACGAGACAAAATTTGTGGAGAGACCCTTCTGGTAACAAAGGAACTGCCATTTCCCTCTGCCACCACTCAGCATAACCACAGGGCCTCCTGTGGGAGCCAATGCAGCACCCACTCTCCCTACTTAAATTGCTTACACCAAGCCCTACCACCAAGTGCTCTGGGGGAACCACTCTTCCCAGTCATGCTTACTTCAGTCCCAGCATAGCTGGCCCCCTCCACCAGAAGACTTGCCCAAACTCCTGCTCACATTGTATCTACCAGCGTGGGAGTTTTGTGGCGCCTCGATTCCAGCATTGGTGGTGACTGGTCTCAGTTCAAAAACAGACCAGAGCACACCTAGTTAAAACACACCACATTCAGGCCAGGAACCAAACAGTGCCCACAACAGGCAGAGAGATGCTGCAGATGACTGCCCTGAAGGATAAAGCAGCCAGGCCACAACAGCTGAGCACATGCAGCACACATTGGAGATGCTCCCAGAAGTGCCAAGCCCTGCGGAACAGGACACCACATGGCATGGCACTACTGGACCTCTTCTTCATGAGGCCATTAACCTCAAGATCAGGAGGCTTTCCTGACACACAGAAATAGGCACAGAAACTTAGAAAAAGTGAGAAGACAGAGTTACTTGTCCCAAATAAAAGAACAGGACAAGGCAATGGGCAGAAATCCAAATGAAAGATATAAGTAATATGCCTGATAGAGAATTTAAAGTAATGTTCATAAAGATACTGGACTCAAGAAAAGAGTGGAAGACATCGGTTAGACTGTTAACACAGATAAGGAATAATACAGCAGGAATAAAGGGCTTAAACAAAATCCGCTTGATAGAATGAGCAGCAGACTGGAAGAAGATGAACAAATTCATAAGCTAAAAGACAGACTAATGGAAATTAATCAAGCTGAGAAAAAAGAATTAGGCGGAACGACAAGAGACTTAGGGAACTCAGTGACTCTATCAAATGTAATAGCGTTCATATAAAAGGAGTCCCAGAAGAAGAAGAGAGAGAAAATGAGAAAAAAATTATTTGAAGAGATAATAGCTGAAAACTTCCCTGATCTGGGGAAGGAAACACATATCCAGATCTAGGAGACACAGAGGACCCTCCAGAAAAATCAACAAACGCAGATCCTCACAAAGACATATTGTAATTAAATTAGCAAAATATAGTGATAAAGATAAAACTTTAAAAGTAGCAACACAAAGTAAGACAGTAACTTACAAGGAAAACCCCGTAAGCCTATCAAGGGCTTTTTCAGCAGAAACTTATCAAGCAAAAAGGGAGTGGCATGATATATTCAAAGTGCTGAATGGGAAAAATCTGCAGCCAAAAATATTCAATCAAGCAAGGCTATCATTCAGAATAGGAGAGAGAGTTTCCCACACAACAAAAACTAAAGGAGTTCATGATGACTAAACCAGCCCTGCAAGAAATATTAAAGGGGACTCTTTTGAGTGGAAAGGAGAGACCAAAAATGACAGTATAACTGTAGGATACCAAAAGCAGTTAAAATGAGTATTTCTCTAAAGCATCAGTAAAGGAACTCACAAAAGGATGTAAAACACGACAACATATACCTAAAATGTGGGAAGAGTAAAGAATGGGTTCACTTAAACAACCATCAACTTAATATAGACTGCTATCTGCAAAAGAGGTTATACACAAACCTAATGGTAACCATATATCAAAAAACCACTAATAAATATGCAACAAACAGAAAGAAATCCAAATATATCATTAAAGAAAATCACCAAACCATGAAAGACAGAAGATCAGAGAAAATCATAAGAAACAACCACAAAAAAAATATACAGTGACAATAAATACATATCTATCAGTAATTACTTTGAATGTAAATGGACTAAACACCCAATCAAAAGGCAGGGTGACAGAATGGATTAAAAAAAAAAAAGACCAATCTACATCTTGCCTACAAGAAACTCCTTTTAGATCTAAAGACAACTCACTGAAAGTGAGGGGACAGAGAAACATTTATTCTACAAATGGATGGCAAAATAAAGCTGGAGTAGCAATACTTATATCAGACAAAAATAGCCTTTACACATCAAAAACTATAACAAGAGAAATGAAAGGACACTATATAATAATAAAAGGGACAATCCAACAAGAGGATATAACAACTTTAAGTATTTATGCACCCAACATAGGTGCACCCAAATACATAAAACAGGTAATAACAAATATAAAGGAACTAACCAATAATAATACAATAGCAGTGGGGGGCTTTAACACATCAATGGACAGATCATCTAAACAGAAAACTAACAAGGAAAATGCTTTGAATGACACACTGGAACAGATGGATTTAACAGATATATGCAGAACATTTCATCCTAAAACAGCAGAATACACATTCAAGTGCACACAGAACATTATCCAGAATAGATCACGTATTAGGCCACAAAACAAGCCTCAACAAATTCAAGAAGATCAAAGTCACACCATGCATCTCTTCTGACCACAATGCTATGAAACTAGAAGTCAACCACAAAAAAAAATCTAGAAAGATGACAAATACATGGAGGCTAAATAACATGCTACTAAACAATTTATGGGTCAGCCACGAAATCAAAGAATAAATTAAAAAGTACATGAAAACAAATGAAAATGAAAACACAGTGGTCC